CTCACTTGCCAACATTCTGCCACTGAGGCCTCCCTATAGTCAAGCAAGAGGTGAACAGGCCCTTTGGAGTCTGGGGAGAAATTTACCCTGTAACCCTACAAAGAAACTGGCCCACAACTCCCGCCTGTGAGGCCAAGCCTGGCATGCGTGTTTCTTTCTAGAGAAGCGTTCAGATGTAAGCAGAAGTGAAATCCCCTTTTGCACTTTACACATAGAAGTGTGTCAGCGGGGTGAGGTGTAAACACAACAGGTTTTACTGTGGTGAAAGTAAAATGCTTCAGTAATTTATATTGATTGTTATCGTGTAAATTTTATATATCAAAACAATTATGAAAAGGCTCAAAAAGATAAACAGGAAAAGAAATGGGCAGTTAATATGACCTTAAGAGAGGCAACCACAGCAATGATAACTTTAAGAGGGAGGCTATTTCCTCTTTGAGTCTACAAGTGCATATAGTAATTTAAGTGAGAATATAAGACAGAAGCCAGGCTTCAGCTATACGTGAATTGTGAAATTCCAGATGTTCAAGCTGGTTTTAGAAAAGGCAGAGGAAGCAGAGATCAAATTGCCAACATCCACTGGATCATGGAAAAAGCAAGAAAGTTCCAGAAAAACATCTATTTCTGCTTTATGACTATGCCAAAGCCTTTGACTGTGTGGATCACAATAAACTGTGGAAAATTCTTAAAGAGATGGGAATACCAGACCATCTGACCTGTCTCTTGAGAAACCTGTATGCAGGTCAGGAAGCAACAGTTAGAACTGGACATGCAACAACAGCCTGGTTCCAAATAGGAAAAGGAGTATAGAGTATACAAGGCTGTATATTGTCACCCTGCTTATTTAACTTATATGCAGAGTACATCATGAGGAACGCTGGGCTGGAGGAAGCACAAGCTGGAATCAAGATTGCCAGGAGAAATATCAATAACCTCAGATATGCAGATGACACCACCCTTATGGCAGAAAGTGAAGAGGAATTTAAAAACCTCTTGATGAAAGTTAAGGAGGAGAGTGAAAAAGTTGGCTTAAAGCTCAACATTCAGAAAACTAAGATCATGGCATCTGGTCCCATCACTTCATGGGAAATAGATGGCCAGACAGTGGAAACAGTGTCAGACTTTATTTTTCTGGGCTTTGAAATCACTGCAGATGGTGATTGCAGCCATGAAATTAAAAGACGCTTACTCCTTGGAAGGAAAGTTATGACCAACCTGGATAGCATATTTAAAAGCAGAGACATTACTTTGCCAACAAATGTCCGTCTAGTCAAGGCTATGGTTTTTCCAGTAGTCATGTATGGATGTGAAAGTTGGATGGTGAAGAAAGCTGAGCACCGAAGAATTGATGCTTTTGAACTGTAGTTTTGGAGAAGACTCTTGAGAGTCCCTTGGACTGCAAGAAGATCCAACCAGTCCATCCTAAAGATCAGTCCTGGGTGTTCATTGGAAGGACTGATGTTGAAGCTGAAACTCCAATACTTTGGCCACCTCATGCAAAGAGTTGACTCATTGGAAAAGACCGTAATGTTGGGAAGGACTGGGGGCAGGAGGAGAAGGGGACGACAGAGGATGAGATGGCTGGATGGCATCACTGACTCGATGGACATGGGTTTGGGTAGACTCCGGAAGTTGGTGATGGACAGGGAGGCCTGGTGTGCTGCAATTCATGGGGTTGCAGAGTCGGACACGACTGGGCGACTGAACTGAACTGAACTGAACTGATAAGACAGAAAAAGAGACTCAATCTTAATTGTAACTCTGTAGGATTTTTTCGTTGGACTAGTGTCTATAGCTTTGATTTAAGTTTTGTTGATTTAATGCCACTTAGGTGATGAGTCTTTAGAGGAAAGCCCTGTGGGAATACTTCACGGCTTGTGAGAGAATGATTAAAAGGAGAAAGCCAACTTAGTCACCTCCAAATTACACAAGGAGAAGAAAACCCAGCACCACATATCCACATTTGCCAGAGCTGTCATCGGTCCAGGTGTGACAAAAAAACAGGCAGAAAATTCGAAGTGACTGGGGGAGACACAGAGGTTGGGGGTGACCTGCTGCTCTCCCGGCCTCCGTGGAAGGTGGCTCTGGAGAGGGTACCTGTGCCATGGATAGCCTAGGAAGCACCTAGCCCTGGGAACTTACCGGCTGCACATGTGCTGTCATGCTTTCCTATCTGTAATATGAAAACTGTGATCCTCAAAACTGAAAGAACACCTAACTGATCTGCGGTGACGTTTACCCGTGTGTTCTGCGGTAAGACGTCTCTCTCCCTGTCTCTCTCACCATGCTGTGCCCAGTGTTCTATTCTTGAAAATGATTTACTCATTCATTTATGTATTTTTGACTGTGCTGGGTCTTCGGTGCTGAGTGCCGGCTTTCTCTGTTTGCGGGGGGTGTGGGCTTCTCATTGCAGTGGCTTTTCTTGTTGTGGAGCACAGGCTCTAGGCGCATGGACTTCAGTCGTTGCAGCATGCAGCCTCGGTAGTTGTGGCTCATGGGCTTAGTTGTTCCATCGCATTATGGACTCTTCCCAAACTAACCAGGGATTGAACCTGTGTAGCCTGCATTGGCAGGCGAACTCCTAACCACTGGACCACCAGGGAAGTCCCAGTTTCCCCTTTCAAAACCAGCTGGTCTCTCCCCCACCTGCCTAAATCCTCCAGGGCTCCCCACAACCCTCTCCATCCCAGTTCCCTCCACCTGGGTCCCCACACTGCCTCACCCTGACCTCACATTACACCAGTGCCTCCAGGTCCCACTGTCTCAGCCCCTCTGGTCTTGCTGACCCTGCGTCTGTCCACCTCTTCCCCAGGCTCTGCCCAGCTCCTTCTGCCGGGCAGGCCCAGCTGTCCTCTGCCTAGCCAGCTCCACACTGCAGGAACACACTGCCTGCCGCAGGCTGCTGATCGCAGTACCAGGAGCTCACGTTCCGGTCCAAGACCATTCCAGAAGAGCAAGCTTAGAGAGCCCCGTGGGGCTGACATGGGTTTATCCAGAACAGGTGCCCACTGCCTGTTTTTAAGTCACTCAGTAAACAAGTATTTATTGAGCACCAACTATATGCAACTGGGCTTCCTAGGTGGCTCAGACACTAAAGAGTCTGCCTGCAATGTGGGAGATGTGCGTTCGATCCCTGGAAGATCCCCTGGAAAAGGGAATGGCTACCCATTCCAGCATTCTTGCCTGGAGAATCCCTATGGATAGGGGAGCCTGGTGGGCTACAGTCCATGGTGGGGGGAGGGGGTCACAAAGAGTTGGACAGACTGAGCGACTAACAGAACTCTTTCACTGTTTTTCTGCCCCCACCCCACCCCGCCCCTCTTTGCTACCATATGCTCTGTGCTATGGCAACCCACTCCAGTAATCTTGCCTGGAGAGTTCCATGAACAGAGGAGCTTGGCAGGCTACAGTCCACGGGGGTGCAAAGAGTCAGGCATGACTGAGCAACTATCACTCACAACTATCACTCACTCAGGCTCCAGGCATGCAGGCAGCCCAGAGTTCACTGTGATGGGGTAGGACAAGGGGCAGGCCACCCTTGAGGAAACACACAGGATGACTTCAGCTCAATGCTAAGTGCTGGGAAGACCACCAGGGGCGGCCTGCAGGGGGCGGGCGGGTCAGGGCAGGTCTTACTGAGGAGGGAACATCTGACCTGATGCCCAAGCAATAAGGCGGGACTGACCCTGAGGCAAGTGGGGATGGTCTTCCAGGGAGAGAAAAAGGCCTGGAGGTGGGAGCCAGCCAGTTTGAGGAACGAGAAGGCCCTGGGGAGGCTCAGGAGTGCGATCAGAAGTCAGGCCAAGCGGGGGCTTCCTCCTGCCGGCCTGGGAAGCCACAGTTTCCGGATTTTATTTTAGAGACCAACAATGGGGGTGGGGGCGCCATCTTCTCCCCTTTGGGGACGGCCAACGAGGCCCAGAGGCCGCCAGCGACCTACTGGAGGCCACACAGAGGGTCGGTGGGTGGGCTTTGGTGGGGGCGGTGGCCGAAAGCGCCGGCCGGCCACGCGTTCCGCCGGCCCCTCTCCCGGTATATTCTGGCCGCAGACGGAAGCGGGCGGGGCGGGGCGGGGCCTGGAGGCCGGCCTCCCGCCCCCGGCGCGCCGCCACTGGGCCGAGCTCGGCGCGCCCCTCCTCCGGGGTGACGCGGCCGCGGGCTGGCCCGGGGCGCGGCGGTGTCGGCGGCGGAGCGAGCGCAGCGCGGCGCCAACATGGGGGCCCAGCTGAGCACGGTAGGCGGGGAGCGGGGCGCCGGCCGCCCCGGGCCGGGGGTCATCGCTGCGGACTGGAGCCGCGGGCGCCGGGCCTCCATCCCAGGCAGCGACGACTGCGGCCGGCCTCGGGGTCGGGGGCTGGGGGGGGGGCTCCCGGCTCGGAAGTGAGGCGCAGGACCCCACCCGGCCCCGCCCTGCCCGCCGCGCCCCGGCCGTCCCCTGGCGGCCGTGACTAAGGCCCCGGGCTCCTGCCCTCCGGCCTGCCCTCCCGGCCGAGGGGCGTCGCCCGGAGCCGGGGTTGGGGTGGCGGGGGTGGCCGAGCGTTCCGGGGGAGCCCCGCCCCTCTGCCGGGCCCAGGAGTGCGGGTGTGCGCGCCAGGGGTGGGAGAGTGCGGGGTGGGGGCGATGAAAGAGACTGGTGACCCCGCCTGTGAGTTCATGAGTGTGAACACGTGTGAAGTGTGAACGGTCGCCTCTGTGCGCGTGTGAGATTGTGTGACCGGGGTGTGGTGCGCCGTGTGTGCATGTGCAGCCGTGGGTTTAGGGGTGTGTTTAGGTGTTTGGGGACGCTGAGTGAGTGTGCATGTGTGCGGCAGTGTGAACAGGTGCGTACCTGCGCTTGCGTGCATGTGGAGTGGGTGTGTGTGTGCACACTTGCGATGTTGCTGGATCAAGGAGTGTTGTGTTTTTTTTTACCACCCACCACCCCCAACCCCTGTCCTGGGCTGCACCCTGGGCTTTCGTTTTCTCCTAACCCAACAAACTGGCGAGGCCCCATTTTACAGATGAAGAAAATGCCGCCGGGGCCTTGGCCTCCCGCCAGCTGGCTGAGTCTGAACTCCCGCGGCTGCAAAGTCCACTGTCATGCTGTCACGTTGGCCGGGCCCAGGGCTGCCTCCTTTGGGATTCCTCAAGCCGCAGTGGGGGTGGGCGGCCTGTGTTCCCCCTGGAGGCTGTGGCCAGGTCCGCCCCCTCACTGGTCCCTGGGGCTGGCTGGGGTTCTCCGGGAGCCCGTGGCCCAGAACCTCTTGCCTGGCCTCCTCCCCCACCTCCACCCTCCAGCTCTGTGCGGCTCCCCCTTGGGGATGAGGCAGAAAGCCTCCTGGCCTGGCCAGTTTGCTCCTGGGTGAGTGGCCCAGCCTGGGACCCTGGGGGCCATTCAGGCGGAGGGGCAGCTTTGCTCAGGGCAAGCCTGGGGGCATCACCCCAGCTCAGTGGAATATCCTGACCATGTTCCCAGAAATGGTCTTCCTCCCTCACCGCTCAGCCTCCCACCCCCCAGCCCAGACACCTCCCACCTGGTGCTGTGTTTCCCACAGGGCTTCTCACCTTCTGGCCATCCACGTTGCCTGGCTTTGGCTCTGCGTCCCTTCGATGGGCTTTCCTCGTGGCTCAGATAGTAAAGAATCCGCCTGCAATGCAGGAGACCTGGGTTCCATCCCTGGATTAGGAAGATCCCCTGGAGGAGGGCATGGCAACCCACTCCAGTACTCTTGCCTGGAGAATCCCCACGGACAGAGGAGCCTGGCGGGCTGCAGTGCACGGGGTCACAGAGTCAGACACGACTGAGTGACTAGGCGCTCACCCTGGGACGTGGCTGCTCAGTATTTTTGCCGAGTTGCCAAGGATCCCTCGTAGCCCCTCCGTGAGGGACAGAGCCCCATGTGAGCGTCAGGAGACCTGCCCCAACTCCTGAGCCTCCTCTGTCCAAGGGGTGGTGGGATGGCGTCTTCCTTATGGGCCCTTTTGGGGTCCCCACTTGGCCCAGAATACCCAGAGCAGACCCCAGTCCTGCCTCCTGGCACAGAGGCTCCACGCAGTCTGCAGGAGGCCCGCTTGGGCTCGGGGCACCAGACTTCTTATCTGGGATGTGCAGGCCCTGCAAGAGGCCTCCTCCCACTCACGGAAGAGGGGTTAGCTCTGGAGTCTGCCAGCCACCTGGGGTACATGCTGGGGGGCTTAGCTGGCCAGCCCCAACCCTGACTCCCCTGCCCCCAGCACAGACGTGAGCGCTCAGTGGACCCGGACAGAACCACAGGTAGAGTCCAAGGCTTTCTCCTGCCCTGGCAGCTCTGTGCCTAGTCTGTGGTCCCAGCCCCCCCGCCCCTGGGCAGCAGGGCTGGGTCTCCCTTGTGGAGGGCTGATCGGTCTGCACCCGCCCCTCCTCCTGGGTTCCCTTCACCCTAAGCCCTGAGCCAGGAGCCCTTCGCTGCAGGACTTCCTCTGCTCCCTCCTCCTTCCTGAGAAGGGGGCTATGAGGGAGGTGAACGCCCAGATCCCAGCCAGACAGCTGGCGGGCGGGCAGCAGGCAGGTAAGCCTCAGCACAGGGGGCTGGCACCTGGGGAGGAACACGCCTGCCAGGTGGAGGTGCTGGCAGGTCCCTTTGCCCGCTGGGATCTGACCTGGGTAGAGAGGATGGCAAGGTCCCGGGGTGGCGTTGGGGGAATTCCAGGGGGGAGCAGCTGGCAGGGTGCCACCTAGGGGTGGCATGGCTACCCAGCCTCTCTGCTCTGTTGGGCAGGCTGGGGGCTCCCTGGAGACACCCTGGCACCCCATTTTCCTCTCCCTGTCCTATGTTATCAGAGGCGGGGAAAGGCAGGTGGGTTCCCTGGTGGGCAGAGTGTGACCTTTGGGGCGCCAGGTTAAGGCCTGGGAGGCAGCTGTCCCCTGGTCCCCCGGGTGGGTGGGGGGAGGTGGTGTGCATGTGCGTGCGTGTGTGCAGTGCACTCAGGAGCTGGGGTGGGGCCGTAGCCTCGTCTGTCCTGTTTACTCTGCCCACTGTTTGCAGGGGCGGCAGGGCGTCCCAGCCCCTTGTGAGTCTGGTGAAGCCTCCGATTTCCCAGACAGAAAGCTTTGACCTTTCCACGGCACCCTTTTCTCCACCAGCTGTGCCCACTGGGGTTTGGGTCCTGAAGGACCGACTGACGGCAAGAGTCTGCCCACAGCTGCCCTTTAGAGAGGAGTTTGTGCAGAGTCCACCCCTGGTCCCTTCGGTGGCCACACTGTCCACAGGGCCACAGGGCTCAGGGCACAGACCGAACTGGCCGCCAGTTCTCACCCTGCCTCAGTGTCCTCACTGAAGTAGGGTGGCCGTAGTCCCCGCGTGCTGGGCTCAAGGACCTGTGCTCACACGGGGCGGCCGGCCGCCGGGACTGGAGGAAAGGCCGCTGATGTTTACCCATCCATCCCGGGTCAGCCCCTTCCAGCAGCGACTCCAGCCCCGCCCCACCTCTGGGAGGCAGGTGTGTCTGGCAGGTGTGGAAAGAGCCAGGAATTCAGGACCCACCCATCTGGCCAGTGCCTGGTGGAGGGCCAATTCCCACCCTCCCCCTGGGGGCATCTGGTCCCTTGTCCTGGTTACTGAAACGTTCAAAGGACGAGAAATCAGACTGCAGGGTAGGCGCTGGTACTTGCCTTGCGTGAATTTACCCACAGATGTCTACCAGGCCTCTGCTCCGACTGCTGGAGGTGAGACACCAGGGCCATCGCCTCCTGTGTCTGCCATTCTGCATTGTGATCGCGCGTGGGGAGCTGGCCCAGCCGTGTGAGCCCCAGACTGGCATCCAGGGCACACGGAGCTCTTGCCTGGAATGTGCAAGTTCTGTGGGAGGGCCACGGTCAGTGTTGAGGGCTCGCCTTCAGAGCTGTTGACGAATGAGCCTTTTTCATGGCTCAGCACCTGCCCTGGGTTGGCATTTGGGGCAGGTGAGAGATTGGAGGGGAGAGACAGAAATTGGGGAACCAGAGCCCAGACTCTACCCTGGGCCTCGCCGAGCTGATGAGGAAGGCAGCTGGACCGTCTCCCACAGCTGAGGGTCAATAAGGAAACACAGAGGAAGGTGCTTTGCAGACTGCGCAGCAAACTGCAGGCCAGGGGTGTGTGAGTCACTCAGTCTGACTCTTTGTGACCCCACGGAAGCCCGCCAGGCTTTTCTGATCCATGAAATTCTCCAGGCAAGAATACTGGAGTGTGTTGCCATTTCCTTCTCCGGGGATCTTCCCAAGCCAGGGATCGAACCTGGGTCCCCTGCATCACGGGCAGATTCTTTACCTGCCAGCCAGAGATCTTAGTTATCCAACCTGGCTGTGCATGCACTTAGACAGCTGTGCTGGGAGGAAGTAAAACTCCAGGGAGCACAGCTCCACTTGGCTCTTAATGTCATTTAAGTTTATTTCCAGGGCTGCCAACAATAGTGATTTCCTGCAAATGTAACTTGGCTCAATTTTTTTCCTAAACGTTCCCGGTGGATATGCCTTCCCTGATAGACGTGGAAGGGGCCTGGAGCAGAGGAATCATCAGAGTGCCCCACCCTCATCCCCGGGGAGTTGGCAGAGGGCAGTAGGGGCTCCGGAAGTCTGTTAAGGACTTGATTAGCCAGGGAGGGGCCAGGCAGGTGAGATTTGAGGTTTGAGCCAGACTCTTGGAAGCTAAATAGGAAAGGAGTCTGCTGGTTGGATGAGGGAAGAGTGTGCAGAGGCCTGAGGCAAAAAAGGCTGGTAGGGACCTTGAGTGTAGGCAGTGGGGAGCCGTAGTGGCGGGTGTTTGGGGGTTGGGGGGAGCAGCTGGGGCCTGGCTGTGGGAGGTAGGAGATGGGATTTCGGTGGAGCCAGGGATTTGGGCTGTGGGCTCCAGGGTATCTGTCTTGGAGGAGCGGACTGGGTTTCTTGGCCTTGGGCGAGCGGACTGGGTTTCATGGCCTTGGGCAAGTCACTTAACCTTTCTGAAAAATGGGGACAGCAGTCTCACTTGTTTTGAGCGTGGTCCCTTGAGCACAGACTTTCCTTATTCTTAACTTCATGATAGTCACGGTGCTGCAGCCTGCGGTTGAAGTGAGGATTAGCTCAGAGAATTCACAGCCCACTCGTGGAGCAGTGCCAGCTCGGGGCCACGTGTGCTCTGTGCATGGCCTTTTCCAGCCTCGAGTCCCCCCCAGCCTTAGGTGGGACCTTCCTGAGGAAGGTGGAGCCTGGAAAGGTGCAGGTTCTCTGCTGAAGTCCTGAGCTGGGTCTCAAACCTGGGTCTCCTGACCCTGGGGTCCTGGGCTGCCAACGGGCCTTTTTTTCGATACTTATCTTATTCATTGATTTATTTGGCTGTGTCTGGTCTTAGTTGTGGCACATAGGATCTAGTTCCCCGACCAGGGATTGAACCTGGACCCCCTGCATTGGGAGCGAGGAGTCTTAGCCACTGGACCGCTAGGGAAGTCCCCCCAGTGGGCCCTAAATGAAATTCAGCGTGGGAGAAATAGCACGTGGTGGTCAGGACATGGTAGGTGCTGGGTCAGTGAGCAGGAGGCCAGAGACCCTGTGTGTGGCCCTGGGCAGGCCAGGGGCTGGGGAGTGTGTGTGCTGGGGCCAGCTCCTTCGGGCCTTCCCTTTACACCCACTGGTACAGACCAGGGGCCCCGTGGGATGAGGCCTTGGCTGCACGCAGCCTGGAGGCCCTGTCTGCCAGAGAGGCACTGTCGATGGAGTTCTGAGCCCAACAAAAGGCCTGTAACCAAAGCTGCAGCTGGGCAACTTGAAGCCGCTGGGCCGGTTTGGGGGGCAGGGCCAGGCCTGGTGTGGAATCCGGGTACCTGTGTTCTTCCTTCGCTTGTGTTAGGGGCCCCATGAGGGTGGTAGAGAAAGCTCCTGTGTGTGTGTGTGTGTGTGCACGCACGCACGCACACGTGCCCACATTCCACAGGTTATAGACCCCTCCGTGACCTCAGCCCCCTACCTCATCTCATGTCCCAGCTCCCCTGGGTGGCAGGCCAGTCAGTGGCCCTGACCTCTTTCCACAGATAAGAACACCAAGGTTCAGAGAGGCCTCAGGTACTAACAGGGCTTCCAGGAAGGGAGGGAGCAGTGAGGCTCGGCCTAGAGAGGGGAGGATCTTCTCAAGAGGTCTGCAGAGGAAGCAGAGAGGCCTCCCTGCAGGCAAGGAACTTGGCTGTGAGCTTCCTGGCGGCCAAGGAAAAAGGGGAACTCGTGCGGGTGTGATGAGAAGAATCCGTATAGTCGTCTACCGTGAGAACTAAACTCAGGGAGGTACCCTGGGGAGGACAAGTGAACAAGCTGTGAGGCCGTTTTCTTGAGAACCAGTGTTTTGGGAGAACTTTTGGTTCTTGACCTTGCTGTTTGAACTGCCAGTATGGACTCCCTTCTTCACTTTTTATTTTGAAATAATTTCAAACCTACAGTAAGTTTGGAAGAATGCATAAAAGAGCCGTTATATACTCTTGACCAAAATATACCAGATGTTACCATTTGCTGTATTTATTATTGTATGTGTGTATTTTAACCCGTTTGAGAGTAAATGACATCATGTTAATTCTTTGCCTCTAAATCCTTGTGTCTGTCTCCTAAGAACAAGGACCTTCTTCTGCATAACTGCAGGACGATGATCAAATCAGAAACATACAGTGCTATTGTCTAATCCCTGGGCCTTAATGCACATTCCGCCAGTTGTCTCAGGATTGGCCTTCACAGCTGTGTTGTTTTTCTTCCCCCGTGGCCCAGAATCAAATTCAAAACCACACATTGCATTCAGTTTTTCTGTCCCTTTGGCCTCTGTACAGTAAGTCTCCTCCACACGAACCTCGTCCCTGTCCCTCGGGGGAAGTGGAGGTTTTCGCAGAAAACGCAGGGGCGTAGAGTACGTCCCTTACACACGAACCTTCAAGTTGCAAACTTTCAAAGATGGAATGTGTGTTCCATCAACGTGAGGCGTGAATGAAATCACCTTATCTTGCTCGGCCTCCGTCTCCTCTTGCTGACGGTCCTTCAGTTCTGCCGTCTCCCACCTCTTCTCCTGCCTCCAGTCCGTAACTCTCCTTGTCTGTTGACTCAATGCCAGGCCCTGTGCGCCAGCTGTTGCCCTGGACCACTGTACTCTACTGTAAGATTAAAAACTGTTGTCTTCATTTTTTGTTTGTGTATCATTTGCGTGAGAAGTATTATAAGCCTATTAGAATAGAGTACTACATAGCCGGTTGTGCGAATTGGGTGCCTGTGTCAGACTTAAGAACAAACTGGACTTAACAAAAGTGCTCTCGGGACGGAACTTGTTTGTAGGTACGGGACTTCTCTGTCTCCATTTCCTATGACTGCATATAAATTGTCACAAACTGGGTGGCATAAAGTGATGGAAATTCCTTCTCTCACACTCTGGAGGCCCAAAGTCTGAAATGGGGGTATTGCAGGGTGCACTCTGGAGGCTGAGGGGAGGATCCTTTCCTCCTTCATGCAACCCTCTCCCCTGAATCTCCTCTCTCTTAGAAGGAACTTGTCATGGGATTTGGGGCCTACAGGGAGAATCCAAAAGGATCTCACGTCCAGATCCTTAGTTTGTTTTTTTTTCCCAGTTAATTAATTTCAGTGGCACTGGGTCTTCGTGGCTGTGAGAGCTTTCTCTATCGTGGCAAGCGGGGCTCCTCTTCGCTGGGGTGCCCAGGCTTCTCATTGCGGCGGCTTCTCTCGTCGTGGAGACGGGCTCTAGGTGTGCGGTGCAGGGACTCCAGTAGGTGCAGCTTGTGGGCTCTAGGGCGCAGGCTCAGTATTTGTGGCGTTTGGGCTTTCGTTACCCTGAGACATGTGGAATCTTAGTTCCCTGACAAGGGATCGAACCCGTGTCCCCTGCATCGGCAGGCAGATTCTCATCCACTGTACCACCAGGGAAGTCCTCCTTGGTTTAATTACAGCTGCAAAACCTCTTTTTCCATCCCCTGGATCTGGGTGGACGGGTCTTTTGGGGGCCACCCTGCAACCCACCAGAGCCTCCTTTAATCTGGAACCTGTTGCTCAGCCTTCGTTTCTCGTGGCTTTAATATCTTTGAAGCGTCGTGCCGGTGGTCCCCGAGGACGGCCCCTCGGTGTTTCCTTGTTCAGAGGCGGGTCCTGAAGAAGGCACAGGACGGTGCTGGCCCCTCGCGCCGTGTCAGGAGTTGCCTGGTGTTGACTGGCCCTTTCCTGTGCTGCTCGCTGGTCAGGGTGGGTCTGCCAGCTTCTCTCCTGCAGGGTTGGTCTGAGCGGTCTTGAGGCTGTTCTTGTCTTCTCCTTGGGTCTCGCTTGTGGTCCAGTTTGTGGAGGCTGCCCAGGACACGACTTCCGGATGGCCCCGGGTAGCCGCTGCACCCACATACATGCCCAGTGAAGTCACATGCCTGCTGGGGGACAGCCTGGGTTAGCCATTTTCCATGGCTGATTTCCATCTTGACAACCAGGCAGTGTGGTTTCTGATCCCCATTTCACAGATGGAGAAGCAGAGCAGAGAGGCTCAGTGGGTTTCCTTCCCAAGGACAAACATAGCTAGAAAGAGCAGCAGGCTAGTTGCCTTTCTTTGCAAGGATGTCCTCTCCAGGTAAAACCTAAGCAGTTTTATATGGCCATGTGATTTGAGTTTTCTCTGTTTTCAAAGTATCCAGACCACCTCTGAGGGTCTTTGTGAGGCTGAGAGTACGGGGCAGGGGGTACGGGGGCTGGCAAGGAAGAGCCTCTTAGAGCCACATAGCAGGGTGAGTGTGATGTTGAGGGTGAGGACTGATGTTTTAAGAGCACGGCTGGGGGGGCAGGTGGACTCAGGCTTGAATTCGCGCTCCCCGCCTGCCAGCTGTGTGCCTGTGGGTGAGTTGCTTCACCTCTCTGAGCCGTTCCCTTGTCTGTAAGGCGGCAGTGATGTTAGCACCTTCTTCAGGGTCATCGTGAGGTTAACCCCCGTGTGGGGCTCAGCACGGTGCGGAGAGCTTCAGGGACCTTGCAGATCACCTTTGTCCAGTTCAGTTCGGAGTCGGGGAAAGGACGTGCCCAGGGTCACCCAGCCAGCAAGGAGCAGATCTTCCCAGCATCCAGCTCAGCGCCCCGGCTGCCCCTCACACCTGAAGGCAGAACCCCAGGGCTCAGGGGTTTGTCTGTAGAGAACTAGCACTTGGCAAAGCTTAATGGGGTCAGGGAGATTGACTTGAGGAGGGAGGAGGGGAGCTCCTCAAGGTTAAGCACAGGCACTTGAGAACTTTGTGCTGAGCTTCCTGGCAGCCAAAGTGAAAAGGGCCACATGCTCGGTTACATAGCTTTCTTTGTCCCTGTTCCTCAGGGGAAATGGAGCTTTTCCAGTGACTCAGTAACACAGTGGTGGGTTTCATGAGTTTGAGTTTTGTATTAATAGCGTCTCCCAGCTGGCACCAAGATGGTGCCAGGGTCCCTGGGTGAACTGGGGAGAGGGTGTTCCTGGCAGAGGAGCAGTCCGGAAGTGTGGACCAACTGGTGTGTTTGGGGGAAGGGCAGGGGGCAGGCCCTCCGCAGGGCCAAGCTGACCTCTTGGGTCTGCCCTGTCGTTTCAGTTGGGCCACGTGGTCCTCTCCCCAGTCTGGTTCGTGTACAGCCTGCTCATGAAGCTGTTCCGGCGCTCCACCCCGGCCATCACGCTTGAGAATCCAGACATCAAATACCCGCTGCGGCTGATTGACAAGGAGGTCAGTGCGGGGCCCGAGGGTCATGGGGCACGGGCACCTCTCTCTCCTTCTCAGCATCACAGCATTTCGTGGGCATCTACTGTGTGCTCAGGGCACGGCCCCTCTTGAAGTAGATCCCATTATTTGCCCATTTTACAGATGGGGAAAGTGAAGTGATGTCCATTTCTAAGGTCTTCCCAGGTGGCACTAGTGATAAAGAACCTGCCTGCCAGTGCAGGAGACATAAGAGATGTGGGTTCAATCCCCTGGAGGAGGGCCTGGCAACCCACTCCAGTATTCTTGCCTGGAGAACCCCATGGACAGAGGAGCCTGGCGGGCTACAGTCCGTGGGGTCACAGAGTCGGACACGACTGAAATGACTTGGCATGCATGCATGCATGTCCATTTCTAAGGCTACCAGTAAATTACCAAGGGATTTGAACCCGGGTCTTTGATCACAGAGCAGGTTCTCTGAACCACACTTACTATCCCACAGAAAATCAGAGTGGGAGGGATACTGTAAGGACTTTTGGGTCCAGGTACCCATTTAACAGATGTGAAAACAGAGGGCAAGAGAGGAGTAACTCGGGTCACTTTGTGAGTCAGGGCTGGGTTAGGACTGAGGCCTAGGCCCCGTGGTCATCCGAGGTGCCGCATCCCAGAGCCCCTTCCTTAAAGACAAGGTTTCCTCCCTTCTCCTACCCTCACTCCCAGGCCCACACACTCAGGGGGCCCCTAGAGTCCTGCTTCCCTGCGTGTTCCCGTGATCTCACATGTGGCTTGGTCTGCACCTCCGGCAGGCTTACTCCTGCTCTTCCCTCCGATGCTTTTCCGTTTTCAAACCTCCGATTGTGGTTTTGATTTCAAACCATCCTCTCCCCATCTTGCCCAGCCGCCCACCCTGTAAGGCCGCCTCCCTCTCCCCCACCAAAGCCCCTCCCCCGTGCTATTTCTGGCCACAGGCAGCTGCCTCAGAAGGGGTGTGGCAGGGAGGACTGAGTCATGGGGCAGAGAAAGCCAGTCACCTGCTGCCAGCCTGAACCCCAGGCTCTGGTCTCTGCGCTGGGCTCCACGTTAGAGCTGGAGCGTCTGTGACCGTGGTTGTACCAGGAGTTCTTCTCAGAAGTCGAAAACCAGAAAGAGGCCAAAAAAAAAAAAAAAAGACCACTTCCCAGATAAGACCAGGCTTATATACACAGTTTTTTCTTACTAAAATAAAACCACAATGTTTTGAATCCTTCTCCTTTCATAAAGTTCTTTTTCCTTGTTTTTTTCACCACGTGGCTTGTGGGATCTTAGTTTCCCGACCAGAGATTGAACCCTGGCCATGGCAGTGAAAGCCCAGAATTCTAACCACTAGGCCACCAGGGAACGCCCTTGTTACTTTTTTTAAACCCAGAAGTAGCATATGATTTACATGTGCTCACTATAAAAATTGTGCTTTTATAAAAGAAAAGCGCAGATTTATACATGCTCTGTTCTCGAGCTGTGAATGTTCCCCTCCCCCACCATGACCCCTGTGCAGAGGGTCCCATTCCCGGGTCATCGTGAGCCTTTTCTGGTGTCACATTTGTTACGTACATGACGTGTGGACGTTCAGGTATGTGTATCCTTAGTTTCTCTTTTTAAATAACCTGATGTTTTTACCTGGCTGTGCAACATGGACTTCCCTGGGGGCTCAGACGGTAAAGAATCCACCTGCAATGCAGGAGATGCGGACTCCATCCCTGGGTTGGGAAGATCCGCTGGAGGAGGAAATGGCAACCCACTCCAGTGTTCTTGCCTGGAGAATCCCCATGGACAGAGGAGCCTGGCGGGCTACAGTCCATGGGGTCACAAAGAGTCAGACACAACTGAGCGACTAACACTTTCACTTTCACACACAGCACAGACACCTTTTCAGGTCTAACCCAAAGTCGATTCATTCTGTTTGACGACTCTCTGGTCTTTTGTCACAGGGATGTCCACAGTGGACCTCCAGGCCCCTTCGATTGAGCAGGTGGCGAATGTCCTATCAGTTACCCTCCCCCGTTGTAGCCTCCTGGTGGCTTTGCAGGGTCAGCAGGTGGACTTGCTCTTGCTACTTGCTGTGGTGCAGGGAGGGGTCCCAGCTGCCCTGTTCCAGGTGGTGGGTAGGGTCACACTGAGCTCTAAGAGTCCACTGCCCGGCTTGTCTTGGCCAGCAGCTTCCTGGAAGCAGCAGCGTGCCAAGCCCTCACAGACATTAGCCTTGTGACTTTTGCTGTCCTGGGCTAGAGATTGTTGAACACAGTAATCATCAGGGTCTTTGCCTCATTTCTGTTCTTCCTCCAAAAATGTCTGGCATGTGGGTTTCTGACCTCGAACCCCAGGACTGCTTGATAATCCTGGAATCCACTTGCGGGAGGCCTTGGGCTTCTGTTTGCAGCTGGACTGTGGGGCAGAGAGACCCGCCGGCTGCCAACAGCCCTGCATCCTGAGTGGGGGCTGGGCGCTGTCTTTCCTGAGATCCAGGCCTCCTGCCCCAGCTTGCTCACTCCAGTGATGCTCTGGCCCTTTGGAGAGGTCTCTTGACCCTCCCTGGGTGGTAGCACTGTCCATCACTGGACCTTGCCTCATGTGAACGTGAACACAAGTGCTGGACCACTAGCTGCCTTTCTATCTAACAGCCCTTCTGCAACCACCGACCTGCAGCGCCTGGTGCAGGGGAGATCCCCCAGGGGCCTTCTGGAGCCCATTCAGGGTCTGGGCACTGGGTTCACATCCTAGCTCTGACACTGTGGGATGCTTGCCTCCCTGGCCTCTGTTAAGACCAGGCCCCATCCTCGGCCCAGCCTTGGTCCTAAGCCGCCTCTGCCCCACCTTGGAGGGGAAATGGCCTTTGCCCATTGACCACACCCTGGGTGCACATGGCCACGTCCACCTCCTAGGCCGTGAGGCTGCCATGCCTCCTGCCCTCTGTAGCCCCGCCACAGTCATGCCATCCTGCCTTTGGGGGCTTTTAGTTTAGTGGCTTCTGGAGCCCCTCTCTCGGGCCCAAGAGTCACATGGAGCCTTGTCTCAGCCCTTCCCCACTCTGTAGCCAAGCTCTTCCCGCCACCCCAGGACAGGACACTTCTCAAGCTATGGCAGAGGTGGGTCCTTCCCTCCTGCCCCTGGAAGCCCTGGAGTTTTGTGGGTCATTTGGCAGCCTCCCTTTGGGATCTGGAGCTCGCTCCTGAGGGTCCCTGCCCTTCTCCGGGCCAACGAGAACAGAGCACTTGCAGTGTTGCTTACCTCTGTGTCCTCACTCACACGTGTGTGCAGGGCGTGTGTCCACCTGTCAATGTCATCTCTTAGTGACACCCTGGTGCTGGGGCAGGGTGGGGGCTCTGGGTCTGGTGGCCCCTCTGACCTGGGTGCCATCCAGCAGCTTGGCCTCCTTGCAGGTCGTCAGCCATGACACCCGGCGGTTCCGCTTCGCGCTGCCGTCGCCCGAGCACATCCTGGGCCTCCCAGTCGGTGAGTGCAGCCCTGATCCAGCCCACATGGAGCCAGCCAGTGCTGGAAAGGGAGGCAGGGCGGGGCTTTGCATTTCAGTGAGAGCAGGGAGGGCTTCAAGGAGGAGGTGTTAGCCATCGGGCCTTCAAGGGTGAGTGTCAGAAAGAGAGGGCAAAATACCCCAGTGTTCCTGGCAGTGGCCCCAGCAGGAGCAAAGGCAGAGAGCTGGGATGTGATGGGAGTCCCTGGGGTGGGAGGTGGTGAAGGGTACAGTGGGATCCAGGGTCAGTCCAGGCTGTGGATGCTGGGTAGTGCGCAGGGAAGTGGGTTGACAAGACCCAGGGGACACTGCAGGGATGGTCCCCGGCCTAGACACCCCCACCGCCCTGCAGGCCAGCACATCTACCTCTCGGCTCGAATCGACGGGAACCTGGTCATTCGGCCCTACACACCCGTCTCCAGCGATGACGACAAGGGCTTTGTGGACCTGGTCATCAAGGTGAGGCCCTGGGACCCAGAGCTGGGTGGGGTGGGGGTGACCACATGGCAGCCCAGGTCTCCACGAGGCCCACGCGCCCGAGTCTGGCCTCTGCGGGCCCTGTGCTCACTGAGCCCAGTCTCGGAGTGAGGGGCACCCCATGGTTCTCAGCACAAACCGAGCATGGCGGTCTCAGCAGAGGGCAGGGGGGCTGGTTCGGGGTCAGTGTCTTCAAACCAGGACAGACGGTCTGTGGAGAGGAAGCAGGCAGGCCCACCAGCTCACACAGGGCCTGCCTTCCCATCACAGACGGGGAAGCTTGGGGAGCTGGGTGCCCGCTCACCCTGGAGAAGCACCCCAGAGGCCCACTGGGGCTGCAGTGTGGGTTTCGTGGGTCCTTGTCTGGGCGCTGGGGTGAGGGGCTCTCTGGGATTCCCCCACCAGTCAGGGGCTGGGTGCACACCACGGGGAAGATACAGCTGTTAGATGCAACAGACCAGAGAGACACAGACCACCCAGAAAGGCTCTTAAAAACCAAGACACGGGGAAGGAGAAGTGATGCCTCTAAGCCAGCACATTTTTGTGAAAGTTAGAAACACAAGCTTTACGGCAGTGAGTCACTTTCTCTGATTACACACCCCAAAAGCAGGAAGCTGCCAGAGCTGCTGGTGGGCGTGGGGTGTTAGACACCTTCCCTAGTCAAGGCCCAAACCACACCCCCACTCACAGCCACCCTCGTTCAGAACCCCCCCGGGCACCAGGCTTATTGTCCCAACGCCTCTGTGCAGGCCCCAGGCCCCCTCACTGGACCCCAGGGTGGAGGGTGCAGAAACAGACCCCTGCTGGGCCGCAGCTTCAGCCCCGGGGGTTTCAGGGTCCCGGGCCGGGCGCTGGGTCTGGGAGGGCAGGAAGGGAGTAGCCTGGCATTCCTGGCTCTGGCCTGGGTCTCTTCTTCACTCGGTGTCACGCAGACCGCACGCCGGGTGCCCAGCCCACCGGGCCTTGGGAGCCTGTCTTTGGCTGGAGAGTGGACACTGAACAGGTGGGCACACAGAGGTCAGTGTTTGTCCAGGGGACGGACACCAGAACTGGGTCGGGGTGATGACAGCTGTGCCTCCCACCCACTGGCCCGAGCAGGCAACCGTGAGGCGAGCAGGTGGAGATGGAGGGAAAGGACCCTCCCGGTGCAAAGGCCCTGGGGTCAAGAGGAGGCTTGAGGACTTGAGGGTCAAGAAGGGGAGAGGTCAGCGGGGCCGGGCAGAACCTTGGAGGCCCTGCAGGAAGGGGGGCTTTGTCCAGAAGGAACAGGAAGGTGGTGAGGGTTCATGCATCTCTTCTTGCTGAACTCACCCCAGCTGGATGTGGAGGAGGTGTTGGGGGGTGGGGGGGATTCAAGTAGAGGATGAAACGCTCACGAGGACCAGGTCCTTCCTGGCTTGGAGACCTCGTGGCCCCCTTGGTTCACCCTCGTTAAAAGTCAGAACGCTGGCCTGGCACACAGTTGGCTTGCCCACTCTCCTCCCCAACCCCAGACACACAGACACACCCGCTGTCCTGCAGCCACACGTTCTCCCCTCCCCACCCCCGAGGCTGCAAGCCGTGTGAGGCCCCTGGCCTTGGCACACCCTGCCCCTGCCCCCTCTCTGCCTGTTGGTCCTGCTTGCCCTTCAAGGCCCAGCACAATGCCCCCAGTGTAGCCCCCTCTGCCCTGGAGCTGCTCCTCCGTCTGCCCATCTCTTTGTCGAGAGTCGAAGCTGCATCCCTTTTTCCCAAAGCTGAAATCCCAAAAGGCACAGAGAAGGAAGTTGTTCCAAGAGTGACGTTTTCATGGCAGCACAAAGCGGAAAGAACTGAACATCCACCAGCAGGGCCTGCCCTGGGCTGACAGCCGTGGGAATCTCCTGCCCAGAGGGGTCACAGACACAGGTCTTGGCAGAACGTTATACATCAGGCCCTTGGGTCAGCTGCTGTGGACACTGGGCTGCTGCTTTGCCCTCCAAGGGGACGTTACGGGGAAGGCAGGCCCCGGGGGTGGACGGGACACAGATAGGTAAGTTTTGATGGGTGAGAGCAGCACCGAGTGAGCAGGCCAGACGCGGCCGCAGAAGACCCCAGAAGAGGGTCTTCCCGGTGTGCCCAGAGCTCTTCCCGGCACCCTGGGGACGGGGGCTGAGGACGGTGCGTGTGTCTTGCAGGTTTACTTCAAAGACACGCATCCCAAGTTTCCTGCTGGAGGGAAGATGTCCCAGTACCTGGAAAGCATGAAGATTGGCGACACAATTGAGTTCCGGGGCCCCAACGGGCTGCTGGTCTACCAGGGCAAAGGTGATCTGGGTTGGACTCCCCAAGCACCTGGCGGGTGCGGTGGATACTGGTGCAGGTCCCGCCCCTGCTGCTGCCTGGAGGGGTGACTCCTGGAGGGCAGGCCACCTCCTCTCCGGGGCCTCAGTTTCCCCAGCTGCTAGGGGTCAAGGTGGCCAGCGCAGGAGTTGCAGACCAGCCTTGGGAGGCACATCCAGCTCACAGACTAGCTTTGTTAGGCTGGAAACAAACCAGGGGAGGGCTGAGCTGGGATCCCCTGCTTCTCCAGCCTCCTGCTCCTCTTGGCACTTGAGCTGGTCCTAGTCCCCCCTTCCCGTCCCCCTCACCTGACGGGCTGGGGCGGGTATGGTGGTCGCCACACCCAAACCCTCGAGATGGGGACAGGGTCTCAGCCTGTCTGACCCCCGAGCACGGTGTGTTTGAGAGCTGGGCCTCATCCCATCTGCTCTCCCCAGGAAAGTTTGCCATCCGTCCAGACAAGAAGTCCGACCCTGTCATCAAGATGGTGAAGTCTGTGGGCATGATTGCGGGAGGAACGGGTAGGTGGACCTGGAGCCCCGCCCGAGTCCCCGGGGGGCGGAGGTCTCGAGTTGGGGGCAGGGTGTGGGACGCCGCACAGATTATGAGCGCCCAGGAGCTGCCTGAGGTCAGGGTTGTCCTGGCTGGCACCTCCCCAGGCATCTGCCTGGTGCTAGGCAGCAGGCGCTCACACCACGTGCGGGGGTGGTTTGTTTGCAGGCATCACCCCGATGCTGCAGGTGATCCGCGCCATCATGAAGGACCCTGATGACCACACCGTGTGCCACCTGCTCTTTGCCAACCAGGTCAGCGGGTGGTCCTGAGGTCTGCAGGCCTGAGGGTGGGGTGCCGGGCAGGCACTGCTCGGGGGGCTGCGAGGCACTGCGGAGACGCTCAGGGTGGCTGCAAGGTGTGCTGAGTCTTCTGTGCACAGCGGCCTTGCAGCAGCTGGTGAGGTCGGGCAGAGCTAGAGCGTCTGACCCAAGCTGGCCGCTTCGGTGGTGGGGGTGAGGCCCCTGGAGCACCCCCACACCAGGACTGGCTCCCCTGGCCGCTTCCTCGGCACCTCAGCGCTCCCTTCACCGCACGTGGAATTTGGGACTCGGCAGGGATGTGGCAAGAGTCTGAGGGTGCGTCTGCATAGATGCGGTGCAGAGGACACACCCGCACAAGGTCCCTGAGCTGGCGGTGTTGGGATCGGGTTTGGACCTGGGCACTCTAGCTCCCGAGCACATGTCCTCCTCCCCATGCCTGCCGCTTGCCTGCCTGCCCTGGCCTGCTGTGTGGCCTTGGACAAGTCATTCTCCCTCTCTGGGCTTCCCCGTCTCCCTGAGGAATGAGCTGATGAAGGCAGGTCATCACGAGGATCTCTCCAGGCTCAGCGTTTCATGACTGAATATTTGGATTTTGCAGTGAGGCCCCTTTGTGGGGAGGCTCAGATGGGACACCTCCTGCCTGTGTGGGGGCTTTCACCAGGCCCCCCGCATCTCTCAGATACGGTTCAGGTCAGCCTGCCTCCGGGTCCGTCTGCCCTAGGCTCTGCCCCGTCCATCTGTGAGGACGCTGAGCCCGGAGGGAAAAGTTCGCCTGCGGTCCCTGGACTCCCACACAGCTGCAGAAAACTGCCCTGAGGTCAACCAGTGCGGCCTTGACCAGGCCCGGGGTGGGTGGAAAGAGCCAGAAATTCCAGGCTGGCTGGTGCGGTGAGAGAATGGGCTGCACTCAGCTTGGTGGTGCTGGGCAGTCTCCATGGAGGCCCTCCGTCGCCTGAAGTGGCATCTTCTTGCCCATCGGCGGGGGCAGTGGCTTCCGTTACCTGTTTCTGCGTTTAGTCAGTGCAGTATCACAAGTCATGTAGCCTCTGAAAGTTCCACTCCACACTTGCGAGGGAGCGAGAGTGAAAAAAGTACCAAAAAAAAAGTATCATGTGAAAATCGTTCTGACCTCAGGGTCCCGCTGGAGGGTCTCAGGGACCCCAGTGGTCCGCAGGGAGCCCCACACTGGGAACCCTGGCTTTGTTCCAGTCAAGTTGTTTCCTCTCCCTCCTTCCCCCTTAGTGACATATATGCTCGGCTGGGACAGGGGCCACAGCCCCTTCAATTCCCCATCTGCAATCTAGGGTAACGGGGATCCACCTCTCAGGACCATGTGAGGACTGAGGTGGCCTGGGACCAGAGTACTTAACATTGCAGACATGTGCATGCTTCCTGGAGGGACCGGGTGGCCAGGAGTGGAGGCCGGCGGGGGCCCAGGGTGAGTAGGGTGTCCTGGGTCAGCCAAAAGCTCAGGCTCTGCCCCCAGTCTCAGCCTAAGGGAAGCCCCACTTTCAGAAGGGTGTCAGGGAGACAATAAACAGCAGGGCAGCCTGGTTCTTGGGCAGGGAGACTGATGTTTGAAGGCGTCTGTTCTGTAGAAAGTCCCAGTGGGATCATTTTTTTGCTGTTATAATGTGACAAAATGATGCACTATGGCCTGAAAAACCAAGTATACATGCATAGCCAAGAAAGTTTTGAAAAAGAAGAGTGACAAGGAAGGAATACTAAAAAGTGTTGGTGATAAAAATAGCTCTGGAGCCACACGTGAGACCTGGGTTTACTGGACTGGCTGTGTTTCTGGGTCCTACAGCAGGAAGTCTGGACTGTGCTGGAACATGCTAGAATATGTGGCTATTTACACTGAGGTTAGTTAAGACTAAATAAAATTAAAAACTCACTTTCCCAGTCTCACTAGGCACCTTTTGTTGGTTCCATAGTCTCATATGACCAGTGGTTACCCTGTTGGATAACACAGATCTAGAACATTCCCATCATTGTAGAAGGCTTGGTTGAACAGCCCTGGCCTAGAAGCAGACCTGAGTGTAAATGAGACTCTGTATCTGATGTAGGTAACATGTCAAACCTGAGGAGATGAAAAGGAGTGTTGGGTTAGTTGCTGTGCACTTGGGAAAAATGTAGATCCCTACCTTACCTTATAGAAAAATGAAGTGTAGGTTAAGGATGTATGTATAACAAAGTGAAGCTTTAAAAGTAAAGGGTGAGCATTTTTAAATACAAGAAGTGTCATTGAATTAGTGAACAAAGATTGTCAGGCTAAGCAAGACACTGAAGGAAAGCCCGTCAAGAAGGCTGATGGAGCCATCTGCTTGAAATGAAAAACTCCTCTGGGGAAAAAACACAAACTGTAAATAAGGTAGAAAGATAAATAACTGAGGGTGAGACACATAATGTATCATCAATAAAAATTAATTTCCTTCATATAAAAAGTTTTTACAAAGTAGTAAGAAAAAATATGAGCAGACCAGTGACAAGCTTACTAATAATAAAAGATAAAACACAAGCTTTACTTTCTATCAATCTGATTGGCAAAGCTTAAATGATTATTACCCAGTCCTGGTAGAGGTGTAGAGGGGTGAGCACCCGAGGACTCCCTGCTGGCCTCTGTGTTGGTTGTAACCTACGTGGGGAATAAAGCAGCAGCTTGTATCTAACGCCCTAACCATGTGGAATTTTCTGCCCCGGACTCCACTTCCTCAAGTTGATCCTAAGGAATTGACAGGGCACTGAGGATGGTCAGAGAGATGTTGTTCACAAAGGAGGATGTTCAGAACAATTTCCATGCCTCTCTTGTTGCCTGCCTCTCCCAGTGGGGGGCTCAGGAGAGGTCGGTGAGCAGGTGACCTTTGCTGGTTGACAGAGCTCTTTGGCCCAGTTTCACAACAGTCCTGTGAGTCCGTCATACCGCCCACTGACTGGAGGAGCCAGGTCTGTGAGTGACCTGCAGACATTCCAGGCAAAGTCTGTGCTTAGGAATGGAAAGAGGGGATGTTTCTGGAGTAGACTGCTAACACTCCCCGGGGGTCTAGGAAGGCTTCCCGGAAGAGGTGACACAAGCTGAACTCTACAGGGCCACTTGGGGCTGGCTGAGTGAAATCAGTAGGGGTGAAGGTGGGGAGCTGCAGGCAAGCAGAGGGATTGATGTGGGCAAGGTTGCGGGTTGTGTGATTTGGGGACTCCCATCTATATTTCATAAATTATGGACGTATTGATACAGCCTAAGATGCCAGAACATACAAAGACTTAGACTTTCCCTGGAAGCTTTGCCAAGCGTGTGGCTCATGGGTGGGCGGGATGACGAGGGTCTCCAAAGACAGTCCCTGTCGCTGTCCCTCCTGACCACTGGGCCCTGTCTGCCCCCCGCAGACTGAGAAAGACATCCTGCTGCGGCCTGAGCTGGAGGAACTGAGGACTGAGCACTCTGCGCGCTTCAAGCTCTGGTACACGGTGGACAAAGCCCCTGAAGGTGAGGGCCTGGGCGGGCCGGCTGGGGTGGGGGCGCTGGCCCACGCCCGCCTCTGCTGCGAGCCCTCTGCCAGGTGGAGCCTTCTGTCCACGTGGTCTCCCTTACCCTGAGAGGAGGGTGGTTAGGAAAGAGCGATCAGAGAGGGGAGGTAAGTGCCCCGCAGTGCACAGCGAGAAAACCCCAGAGCTGGGACTTGAACTCGTGTCCACCTCTTACGGAGCCCTAGGCCTCCCCCTGCCTGCACTGCTGGACACAGAAGGCCAGCATTCTCCCCTTGAGCTGGGGCCGGTGCTGGGGACGAAGGGTGATCGTTTCCACACACAGTGCAGTCATCAGCCCTGGGGGGTGGGCTGCACTAACTAATGTACAGCTACCTTCACTCCACCTGTCCAGGTGTTGGGGCTGTTTGCCAAGGACATATAGGAGGCAGGGAGTGAAGGCTGCCCCCAAACTGGAAACAAGGTTGTCCTCTGGGAGCTAGACCCGCTCCAGTCTCCTGCCAGCGAAAGGCCCGGCCGCGCTGTTAGTTGGAGAAGGGCATGGCAACCCACTCCAGTATTCTTTCTTGCCTGGAGAATCCCATGGACAGAGGAGCCTGGAGAGCTACAGTCCATGGGGTCGCAAAGAATCAACTGAACAAGACGACTGAATGCACTGTTCGTGGACACTGCCCTCTGGTGGGGGCACCTGGCAACGCTGGAACCAAAGTGCCTCCTCCTGGGGACAGTTTTTTTTTTTTCCTGGGGACAGCTTTAAGAGGAGCCAAGTAGTCCGGGCCAGGAAGAGACACAGTTGGGTAGTTTTCTGGTATTTTTCACTTATATTTATTATTACCCTGTCCGCGATTCGAGAGTAGTTGGAGGGCTGCTGTACCATCAGGTATAAACTGGAAAAGGTAGATGCTGAAAAAGAACATGGTTCCAGGCCAGCGTGGCGACTGTGGAGCTGGGGCCCGCTGATTGTGTTTCCCCCACACAGGCTCCTTCAGTATACATGTAAAGAGAAAGACTTATCTAAAAAAAGTCCTTGTCAAACTGAGATGTCTCATACACCTGTACATTTCATACACTAGCAAATAGGGTTTAATCCCATGAAGTTTTTTTACAAAGTACTTTGAGATCTGTTGATAAAATGTGATCTACCTGCCTACATCTTGCCCCGTTCCAGAGGGATTTTAGGCAGTTTAGGGAGACTTTGTGGAGTGAGTCAGAGTGGTATCAATGGAAAGTGGGAGTGAAAGAAAAAACCAAGGGCAGACCCATAAAATGGAATCTAGAGTGAGGTTTGTACAGGAGCATGGGCGGTGGTGCACCCTTATCAGGACTGATCATGCATATCCCTCTGAGCTTCCCAGCAGCCAGTTACTGAGCACAGTGCCCGTGCGGTAGAGAATATACCCCGTTTCTCAGCACAGTGGAGGCTTCCTCATCCAGGACCAGCTGAGACCGACTTGCTACCCCTCCCCCAAGGGACCTCCCCCTCCCTCATGGAGCGTGCACGGTGTGACACGGGGCAGTGTCCATCTAGACAAGGCCGCTTAACTTCAGCGTGACCTTGGACTTCCGCAGCTGCGTTTCTGTTGGTGTCAAAGGCTTTAGTGAGGTTCTTCCAGATTGTGAAGGACAGAGAGAAGCCAGATAAGTGGGTGTTTGGAGCTGGAGGTACTCAGGGAACAGGACCCATCCCCCAGCCTCAGGCGGGTCTGGTGGACCCTGCTGCTCTGATAGACGCAGTGTTGCTCTGTTGCTCGCACTGCCGCACGGCCCTCAGCCTGCTGTCTCGCCGGAGCCAAACCAGAGGGCTGTCCTGGGTAGGCCCCCCACTTGTTGGCCGGGGCTCTGAGGCTGGCCTGGGGTCAGGCGCCTACTGTGGCATCAGGAGGTGGCTGACGGTGGCTTCTCGGAGGGGAGGGAACATGCGGCAGGTGGCAAGTATCTGGCGGGTCCCTCTGTCCCTCTGGGGTTGAGATCCTGCTGAGCTGCTCGGCACAGGGGTCACTTGAGGGGCCAGCATGTGCCCTCAGTCCCCAGGCAGTGTTTGTCCCCATTGGCCATTGAAGAACTGCGGAGCAAGGTGAGCTTCAGACTGGATCGCTCCTCACACATCTGCAAAAGGGGGTCACATTGTTGGGCAGGACAGATGATGGGGGCGGGGAGCCGCGCACCAGGACCGGCTGGTCCCCTGTCCCTGAGCAGCCCCCATCAGCAGCTCAGTCCTGAGGGTCCGTGTGGGACTAGAGTCCTGCCGGCCCCGGGGTGCCGGGTTCTCACCATGGGCACCTGCAGGCACTGGGAGGAATAAAAGGCAGCTCTGGATCTCAGGTGAAACCTGAAGACACAACTGCGCGTGTGCGTGTGCAAGACAGGGAAGCAAGCAGGACTTCGAGGAGCTGAGGCTGCTCTTTTGAGGACCCTGCATCTGGAACTTTAGCCTGTATCCTGGCCTTGCTGTTTTCTGGCTCAGTTCAGTTCAGTTCAGTCGCTCAGTCGTGTCCGACTCTGCGACCCCATGGAATCAGGGCCGAGGTCTGCTCCATTCTAACGTGTTTGTTGAAAGGAGGAATTCATGGGCACAATAGCTTCGGCACGGAGGAGGGGGCGGTGGGCAGTTGGTGGTCGGTCACACGGCCACCCTTGGGCTCACCTGGTCTCCTGCCCCGCAGCCTGGGACTACAGCCAGGGCTTCGTGAACGAGGAGATGATCCGGGACCACCTGCCGCCCCCGGAGGAGGAACCACTGGTGCTGATGTGCGGACCGCCCCCCATGATCCAGTACGCCTGCCTGCCCAACCTGGACCGCGTGGGCCACCCCAAGGAGCGCTGCTTCGCCTTCTGATGGACGGGCCCTGGCCGCTAGGCCTGCCCGCTCTCATTGTGCCCTGGCCGCACCCACCCCTCCTGCCGCTGTCCGTTACCACCACCTGCCCTGTGTCTCCTGCTGCGGCCGGGTTCAGCCTGGCCTGCCCGTGCCTGGGGGGTCACCGCGCTGGGCTGGCCCGAGGGGCCCCCTGGGAGCAGGTGTCTGTTACAGGTGCGCCGCCGTTGCCACCTTTAAGGCAGATCCCTATCTAGGCCTCGCTGGAGATGTTCCTGCCCTTCCTCCCCACCCCAGCACACACACTACTAGGCAGAGGCTGCCAGTACCATGCTCCCAACCTCCCCAGAGCATCCCACACCCTGGAAATAAGCAGAAATGTACAGGCATCCCTTAGCTACAGGTCCCAGGCCCTCACCCCCAGCCTCAGACCCTCGCCTGCCGCCCCTGCCTGCTTCAGGGCCACGGCCAGACTTCCACACCTGATACTACGTGGTAGCTGACACCAGTAAGTCCCCTTGGCAGGGGCTGCTGCGGTGAGAGGTTGCCCCCACCCACCCAGGGCCCAGCAGGGAGGTAGGCTGTCCCTGGGGCTGGTGTGGGAGGAGGGGGCTGGCCAAGGGCCCTTCCAGCTGGCACATGGGCCCTCCCAAAACCTCAGCAAAAACACCCCAACTTTCGGACAGCTTTGGAAGTTCCAAGCAGTCCACCTCCCATCGACTGCCTTAGTGTCCCGGGCAGCCAGCCCTGACGGCAGAGCTGAGATGGTGTGCGTTTATTCATCCGTCCCGGAGTCCCCCTGCTGCCCCTGCCCCAAGTCAGGGAGATTTTGAGCAGAGCCCCTTGTCTGAAGGACATTCACAGTGGCCTCGATGTTGCCTTAGACACAGCGTGTTAGCCTCTTGCATATCAGCTTTTTCAGAATCATTTATGAGCAAACATAACACTGAAGTAAAACTTTGCTAGTTTGAACCCTTTTGGAACTCCTAGAGGCTCTGTGTTCTACGTTGTTGGGGGTGGGGGGTGGGGAAGGGGCTGTGCAAGACCTGGCATTTATTTCTGAGGTTTGTTTGTGTTTGTAATAGAACTCTGGGGAACTCCTTGACTGTTTTTCCACTCCGTGCTTCCACTGCAGGGGGCACGGGTTCTATCCCTGGTCAGGGAACTAAGATTCCACAGGCTCTGCAGCATGGCCAAAAAAGAGAAAGAAAATTTGTGGAGAGTACAGAAAAATATACACAGGAAAATAAATATTCACAGGAAAAAATATATATGCAGGAACAATAAAAACTATACCCAGGAAAATAGCGGACATCCAGAGGCAAACACTTATAACTTAGATGAAACCACACAGTCCACTGTGCGGCCGCTGCTTGCCCTAATGGCAGGTATGCTTTCCCTCTGTGGTCAGAAACTTGCCATAGGCCTGCTGGATCGTGGCTTTTTGGTAGCAGATCCCTGCTGTTGGACAGTTGGGCTGTTTCCAGTTTGCGGATTTGTCAATAAGAGTGGCTATCTTCAGCCTCCTCTCTGGTGGTTTCTTTTAGGATAGACTCCTGGAAAACAGAGTGTGGACACTGGGAGTTCAGCATCTGTCACACCCAGTCTTGCACAGATCATCTCCGCCGTGTCAGAAGGTGTCCCCCGTCCTAACTTCAGACAACCCCATGTGACCCATCTTTTCCATTGTACACTCTCCTCTGGACACCCTGAAAGAAGTTAGTAGCCCCGCTCTCCCACAGAGAGACTGAGGCTGAGGGCAGTGAGTGGCTCTCAGGGTGGGGGCGTGGGGGTGGCCCGAGGTGAGGCAGGTGTCACCGTGTCCTGTGGAGGCTACGGGTAGAGAAGGGAGTTCCTTCACTGAGGGTCCAGGTAAAGAATCTGCCTGCAACGCAGGAGACCTGGGTTTGATCCCTGGGTCAGGAAGATCCCCTGGAGAAAGGCATGGCAGCTCACTCCAGTATTCCTGCCTGGAGAATCCCTTGGACAGAGGAGACTGGCGGGCTACAGTCCATGGGGTTGCAAAGAGTCCGACCCCGACTGAGCAACTTCCACTTTTAACAGCCCCTTTACTCACCTGAGGTGAATTCACAGGGTGATAGATATCACCTACCCATACAGAATTTTTAAGAAATAAACGCAAAGCTCCAACTATATTATAAAAGCAAAAAAAAAAAAAAAAAAGCAAAGGAGGCGATCCAGGTTAAGACTTAGTGCTTCCACTGCAGCGGGTAACAAGTTTCATCTCTGGTCGGGAACGAAGATCTCACATGCCCTTGGGCCATAAGAAAAGAAAGAAAGGAATGTATAAAATGATGCACATTTCAGCATGTCAGTGCTGGGCGCAGGCCCCGGAGGAAGCACCGGCCTGTGCCCAGACACAGGGGCTCCGCCCAGCGCAGTCTCGCCTCCCGGGCTCTGCCTCCCCGATGCAGTTCTCCCAGGCCCAGGCCCAATCCTTGCTTAGTCTCCAAGGAAGGCAGGACCCAGTACCTTTGGCTACAGCGCAGTTGCACTGCTGGCAATCCATGTGTATTCTCACCGGACAAAAAGTCCTGTATGTTCCTACAAGAAACGGAGAGAAACCCCGGCCCAGAGAATCGTAACCGGCGCCTCCGGCCCCAGACATCTGGGGCATGGGAGGGCCAGCGGGACGCCCCACCCCGTGCACCCTTCACGTGACCAGATCCCCGCCGCCGGAGCCGCCAAGTGCGACCGGAGTTGCGAAATCTCCCTGGTGGAGGGCCATCCCCCTCACTGTCACAGATACGGTATCAGTTAAGGACCCTACTGTAGTAGTTTAGGGGGCCGGGACCCAGTTTCGGCAGTGCAGAGGCGACCTGGATTTTCCCCCTCCGTCTGGAGCCCAATCTCAGACCCCCTCCGGCTTCACCAGCTCGTTTTTCCAGGGACCTTCCGATGCCGGATTTTTTATTGTGTTGTGGTGCTCTGTCAAGAGGAACTAACTCCACTGGCAGGACTTAGAAAAGATCAACAGTAGTGACTCATAGGGCACTTAAGCCGCGCTTGGCACTGTGCTCAGGGCACCGCCTGTATTTTCCATTGATTGTGTGTGTCAATGTCTCAGTCGTGTCCGACTCTGCGACTCCATGGACTGCGGCCCACCAGGCTCCTCTGTCCTTGAGATTCTCCGGGCAAGAATGCTAGAGTGGGTTGCCTTGCCCTCCCTCCTCCACGGGGGCTTCCCAACCCAAACAGAGACTGAACTGAACCCGCGTCTCCGGCATTATACGCAGATTCTTTACCGTCTGAGCCACAAGGGACCCGGGTTTCATTAACTCCTCAGATACGACTGAATACCCATCTCATGCCAGGGTCAGTACAGGAGGTTCAATGAAAAGGTAATTCCACATGTTGCCCACTTACTGTGTTGCTTGCCCCACTTTCACACTACAGACCAGCAAGACACAGGCACAAACATACACATGAAGGAAAAACGGCTGGCTTCTGAAGATTATAAAGCCTGGAAGTGTGACACGTGAGACTGGCAGCTGTTTGACCCCAGGCGCTGTACTCAAACACAAATAGCTAACGTTAAAAATGTCAGCTGTCCACGCAATCGCCTTTTAAAAACAGGAGCAAATTGGTCGCTGTGAACTTAATCCGTAACAAACATACCACAGTGATTACTCTCGACTTTAATCCCGTATTATACACACCCAAACTGTTCTATTTTTTAAAGTAAAAGGGGGACGGGCAGATCGCGACTCCCAGGCATCCCGCAAAGTAGGCGGGTCACCTTGGGGGCAACCTTTACCCGCTCAAAAATTCGTCTCACATTAGCAGTGAGGATTCGGGCGTCACCCCGAATCGTTATTTTCCTTACTCATAAGTTTAAGGCATAAATACGTACCTCTTTTACTTCCTAGGTAATGAATCCCATTCTCATTAGCAATACGGTGAGTATAAAAGTGGAACGTTGAAGGCCGCACTTTGTTCGGTGAAGGTTGCCTTATTCATTTCATTGTTTTGTGTCGCTTTTCATTTTACTATTTTTTTGTTGTGAGAGAGGGGGAACGGCAGGGCCACAATATGCAGATAAGCAACCGGTTCGCAAAGGTTCACGGGGAGAGCCCCGCCCCTTCCGGTTCCTTTTTCAGTCTGAACTGTCGCGAGAGTTCATCTGCCGAACGCCGGAAGCCGCTAGTCGCTCCACAGCGGCCGAAGGGGCGGGCTCGAAGGTTGAGGGAATCTAAGCTGCTCTCGGCTCGCTCGGCGGTGCAAGATGGCCGACATCTCTCTGGACGAGCTCATCCGAAAGCGAGGAGCTGCAGCGAAGGGGCGGTGAGTGGCCTTTTCCCCTTCGGGTTTTGGGGTCCTGGTCTTAGCGGGGCTTGGGGCGGAGGAGGGAGCGGCCCGGGAGCTACGCGGAGGGCCGGTCTGCGCCCGCCCCCTACCTCAGCCGCGCTCCTCATTGGCCCGGCCGCCGTCGCCGCCGCGGGCCAGGTCGCCCGACTCCCCACTGGCTGCAGGCGCAGTCCCTCCGGCTGGCCGGAGGAGGCTGGTGGGGCCGCCGCTGATGAAGGGGTAGGGCTGCTGGGCTTGTGCGAGCGGCCCGAGGGGCGGCCCGCCGAGGGCGGAGCTGCGGCCGCGGACGGGACACGTTGCCCCGCGGCCTGCCTGGGGTCCTGAGGGTCTCCCCGGCGCACCCCCCTCCTCCTCTGAGTAGACGGGCGCGGCGCCAAGGTCTCAGCGCAGCCTTCGACTTAGGACGACTGGAGTTTCTCGGGGAAGTGACTTGCTCAGACTCTCCGGGTCTGAATTCCTACCGAAACCGCGACTCAAAGCCAGACCTTTAAAATTTTCAAATTCTTCGCCCGGCTCCCTGCTGTTCACACTCGCGGCCTTTTGTGAGGCATTTCAGGTTCTCGGGGGTCGTTTTGCCGCCGGCTCGCAGTCCTGTCAGCCAGCTATTAATGTTTTCCAAATGAGGGGCTTGAGGTGGAATTTGCCTGCGGCCGCGGAGAGCTCAGAGCGGGACCGAGTGCGCTCTGAGAGTTGGCCTCAGGCTTGGGCAAGACAAACTGGCGGGATGGGGCGAGAGGCCGGCCGTTTCTTGATGACTCTCAGAGAACCCTGTTCAGTGTCGGGGTAAAGAGTCGCGGAGCTGGTTTGCAGTTCTGTGACCCAAACTTCTCTGGACACTCAAAATAATGGTAGTCATTTCCAGACTCAACAGGGGCTCCAGTTCATCTGTGTGAAAGAGATGGGAAACCTGGGCCAGTGGTTTTCTAGCACGCGTTAGATTAGTTCAGATGTCCTTGTGGAGAAGCCAGGCTGTAAAGAAGGATGTTTGCTCAGACAGTCGTTCACCCGGCAGATGTTTATTAATACCGCCTGTGTCCCCGTGGCTGGAAAATTGATTCTTTTCATTGTGTAAGGTATCCCTCACCCTCAACCTGCACACACACATCCACCACAACTGCTCCCGCCCCCGCCTAATTCCCCAGCCAGCCCTTCACGAGGTTTCTGGTTCATAATAGGCACGCATCATTAATTTCCTCTATCCTTGTGGTTGTGTCGTGTGCGATTCTTGGCGACCCCATAGACTATAGCCTGCCAGGTCCTCTGGTCCGTGGGATTTTCCAGGCAAGAGTATTGGAGTGTGTTGCCACTTCCTTCTCCAGGGCTTCTTCCCCTCCCAGGGATTGAACTCGCATCTCTTGTGTCCCCTGCATTGGCCAGCAGATTTTTTACCACTGCGCCACCTGGGAAGCCCTCTTTCAGGTCTACCCTCTAGTAACTGGCATGTAATTGGTACTGGGTCCTCTGGTCACTTCTAAGCCCATCCAAGTTTCACAGGTTTGCTGGACAGTTGCTGAGGAAGCCAGCTTCCCAGGACCTGGGCTTCCTGCAGACTCTCCCCATAGTTCCTGACTGCAGGCAGTCTGTACCTGCAGTTGGTGTTGATGTGTGCAGTGTCTTGTGTTAGGCCTTGGATGGGACTGCAGGGAAGGGAGGATGTGTGGATCCATGACAAGAGTGGAGACTCTGCAGCTAGGCAGACCTGGTCCCTAAGAGTGTATGTTTTAAAGTTTGTGTCAGATAGTAAGTGTTCAGCGGATGGCTTTAAAGGAGTAGAAGCTCAAATCCCTCCTCTAGGGGACATAATAAGTAAGCATTGGGGTCCTAGAGTCAGACTGCCAAGTTTCAATCCCACTTGCCATATGAAAGTTACTTAACCTTGCCATGCCTCTCTTTTCTTATGTGTAAAACATGGATAATATTTACTGGGTATTGTCAGGACTAAGTGAATTAATGTATCTAAAGTACTTCAGAAAGCATCTAATGGGTACTAAGTGCCCAGTAGATGTTAGCTCTCATCATTATTGTTAATGAAGGCTTTTAGGGAAAGAAGTAATATCCAGTCTTCAGTGTGAGAATATTGCATTGCTATTATGTGAAGATTGAATTGGGGGAAATGCAGGCCAAGAGACAGTGTGAAAGAAACTGGACCACATGCTGGGTTTGGATTAAACCTACTGGAAACTCCATTTTGCTTGCACAGCCAACAGAGAAAAACTAGATAGGGGGTGAGGGGGTTAGGGTTCTTGTCAAGAACTGTGAAAGGTCTGAACAAATGGCATTTCCTACAGTAAATAAATGCCGTTCTACTTGCTTCTTAGAAGAAGTCTCCTTACTGGCACCTTGGTGTAGTGTAGGGATGTCGCAGAGAGAACTTTGTGCTTAATAATTTAGGAAGAGCCTGTGACTATCTCAGAAAACTTCTTTCCTCTTCTTAAAGGAAATAGCAAAGGACTGAGCCTCTGCAAGTGTAAATAACCCCCTTCTCAAAAGTCGTGGAATGTGCTTGTTCTTCAGAACAGCCATTCTGCTTTGTGTTCATTGTACAGTGTAAGTCAAGAAAGGTGTCATATGTAACATCATTATTATTTAGCCCTCAATCAATCATCAGAAAATTCTTTGGTTAATAGGAGATTCGAGAAAGTGGGGAATTATTTTATGATACTTCATCCAGGCTGTGGTGAGGTGCTACCCTTCCTCCCACACAGCATATCTCTAGTGATTTCGGTTGTTCAAGACCCATAGATGAGCCTCCGGTAGCACTGGGCGCCAGCTGCAGTGTGGGCCTGCCTCCCTTGTCGGTTTCTTCCTTTGGATGTAATTGGTTAGTCAAGGCGCCCTCCTCTTTGGTCTGCTCAGTTCAGCCCTCGGAGGGTAGCTGTCACTGCTTCCACGCAGGCAGGTGGTGACTGGCAGTCTTAGCGGGGAGGTTGGGCCTAGAGTGTGCTGGAGGTGAGGGGCTCTGAGCTAGATACATATGTGGAGAATCCTTGGAGCTGTGGGGAGAGGAGGTTAGGGAATTTTCCAGTTCAGACCAGGGCACTGCTCCCAGTACTCTTACTGGTTTCCTTATTGAAATAAGGTAAAAGAAATTAGACCTAAAATAAAGAGGAGGGAAATGAGTTGTTACGTTAGCTTGGAAGGGAAGAATTGTAATTTAAAATGAAACATTTGCATAAAGGTAAGGGGGTCCTGCCTTGTTTTTTTCTTGTGTTTCTAAAGCACATAGTTCAGAATTGACCCTCAGTAATTGTTAGAACTAAACTCTATTTTCTAAGATGACCTCAACACACACATTCTAGAGACCCCATGGGTTAAAACCCACTTTGAACAATTTAGGGTCCCTCCAAATCGTTTGGACTGTACATCTGTCCAGAGCCAGGGGCAACTGTGCCCTCCACAGGCAGATCCAAGAGGGTGAGGCATTCCTAGCCCCAGACAGACCTTCCCTGGTCATGTGTCTGCCAGGTTCCAGTGGAGGGGGTTTCTGGGGAAGAGGGCTCAGGCTCCAGTAAGTGTCTGCTCTCTTGCCCACACCACTCTTCCTAGGACCTGGTGAGTGCTTGGAAGCAGTGCACAGTTGCACCGTTACAGGTATCATGAGGCAGGGCAGTAAAGAGATTTGCTCAAAACCTTCCTCTCTCCCCCTCCCAAACATTTACTGAGGCCAAAAACCCAGAATGTGTTCAGGAACATCAGATAGTCTGCAGTGGGAAGGGAGACTTCAGTCAGTGGAAGACAGACTGGGGGTTCCACTGGGGGGTTGCACTTTTTTTAGGGAGTGCTTATCAGTTATTGGAGCCAGGAGGGGAACAGAATTGGCTCTATGTTTTATTAGAGACCTGCTCCTAGCAGGAGTGTTTATTTGAAAAGTTCCTGATGACTAATGCCTGCCATATAAGCAGTACCGCTGCCTGCTGGGATGAATAGCTGACTTCTCATGCAGGGAGAGGAGCAGTGATTAGAAAAATCCTGAACACTGAAACCCCCTCAAGCTGCTCATGAAAGGAGTTGAAAGAAGTGATGTAACCAGAGAACCGAATATATGTAATTGAGGGAAAGTAGCTTACTTAGGCTCCTACATCCACAACTGTATCACCTCCCTCCTGAAAATTTACCTTTTGTGCTGTTCAAGTAGATAAAAATACCAGCATGGACCATCATGGTGGTTTTTCTTGCCAGACAAGCAGTATGGTGTGTGGTTCTCTGGTGAGTCCACCATCCTTAGTGTGTGTGTTCACCCTCTGGTCACTAGAGGGTGCACTGTGTCCCTGGATGTAACTGGAGTCTTCATTTTTTTCTTCGTTTGAGGACAGTATTCACCCTTCCTTAACTTTTCTAGTTTTGTTCTTTGTTTTTGACCCATGCTTGATTTATTGGTATTTTAACTAGGTGTGGTGGTGGTAGTGGTGGTTGTGGTTTTGTCGCTAAGCTGTGTCCGACTCTTGGGACCCCATGGACTGTAGCCCACCAGGCTCCTCTGTCCATTGGATTTCCCAGGCAAGAATACTGGAGTGGGTTGCCATTTCCTTTTCCAGGGGGCCCAGGGATCAAATTAGTATCTCCTGCATTGTAGGCAGATTCTTTACTGACTGAGCCACCAGAGAAACCCTTAATTAGGTATAGTGAAATTCAAATCACATTATAGCTCTATGATTTGAAATGTTACTCTACTTGAATCTCAGTTTCCCCATCTATAAAATGTGGATAATAATCTAATTCTCAGAGTTGTGAGGGTTAAAGGAGGTATGTCAGAGTTTATAAATCTGCAGTTAAGTGCTCAAAATGATTAGTTGAGAGTGCCTTCATTGTAAAATCTTTTCATAAACTGTGGTAGCCAGTTGCCCCTTATGTGTCCATAGTAGACATTGCTTATCAAGCATAAACTCGAATTCTCGGTACTAAACATTTCGAACAGCCATTACAGCTTATCAGAGAAGGGAAATTGTTGAGGAATATGAGTAAGTTAAGTTTGCAGAAACCTAATCTCCCTTGCTCCTCCTACTTCGGAGGTGTACTGTTCAGACCCAATTGGAATGAACCAGAAAACTTTTGAATCTGCCCCTCTCCTCATTTTTTGTCCAGGGATATGAATTTTGTTTTCAGCAATCTCATTGTTCCTTTAATTATTCAAAATAGTTGCTTTCAATAGGTTTCTCTTTTCCTTTGTTTCTTTTTTTGGCAGTAATCCTTAATTGATTGAATGGTGAAATTGGGTAACTAGATTTTTTGAAAGCATAGTTTATGCCATGGGGTCTAGATTTGCCCAGTTTTACCCTATGGTAAGATCATTTGGCCACCTGATGTGAAGAACTGACTCATTGGAAAAGACCCTTATGCTGGGAAAGATTGAAGGCAGGAGGAGAAGGAGACAACAGAGGATGAGGTGGTTGGATAGCATTACCAACTCAGTGAACATGGGTTTGAGCAAGCTCCAGGAGCTGGTGATGAACAGGGAGGCCTGGCGTGCTGCAGTCCATGGGGTCGCAAAGAGTGGGACACGACTGCGCAACTGAACTGAGCTGACGATCATGGTGTATTACATGATAAGATCAGCTCACTTCGTATAGTTATAAATATAGGAGCCTTTGGTAGGGGTACCCTGGTGATGGGAGAAGACATATGAAGATAGGAAATTTTCATTCAGGACCTGCTGACATTTGAATGTGGATGTGTCTGACCCCTCCTGTGTGGTGGACCTGGTCATCAGTGATGCCTTCATTGTCAGTGTTTATGTAGCTTGGTTCCCTTTGTAATGTCCACTCAGTCAGAGACCAGCTGCTTTCTCTTCTTGAAGGCCTTTCCTGAAGCTCCTGCAGTTTTGCAAGATCCTTGCGGGTCCACTTTTGGGGTAAGGGCCAGAGGGGCCTATGTGTCATGGCTCTGCGGGTGCCCTCTCTCAGCTGAGAGAGCAATTGGTGGCCAGGATCCTAGGGCACTGGACCAGTTGTTGAGGGCTGGTGGAAGACTGCCTTTGCAGAAGCAGTCTTCTCTAGGAGAATCCCTTCCAGGGCAGCCATCCTTTCTCCCATCTTAACTCCCCTGAGGCTTGGAGTAGGAAAGAGGGAAGCTTGAAATCTGTTATTGGAAAGACTGTGCTCTTTGATTTGGTTTCTCCCCTCTAAGATGGAACTGATGGCAGGTAATCTCAGAGATGGCGAGCCTAAAAGGAGAAGGTAAAATAGAAGCCCTGTGGGGTCCCCGACAGAGCTCTTAGAGCCTTTGTCATTCCCCTGGGGCAGTATTGATGTGGAGGAGGATTCCTAGGATCTACCCTCAGAAGCTCTTAGTCCTGTGGGAGTTGCAGGCTTGTAAACAAATCATTGTGATGCTGCATGGTAAGTGCTTTGATAGAAGCTTTGTCCAGTGCTTTGAGGGCTCCAAGAGCAAAGAAGCTGCAGGCCCTGGGCTGTTGGGGATGCTTTCCATATTTGGTCTGCCTAGGATGTCCTTTGACACTACTCTTTCCAGAAATCTTGGAAGCCCGCCCACAGCCCACAGACCGTGGTCCTTCCTCTCCTAGAGTGGGAGCATGCTGATTATTTATTGCTCTGTATGTCCCATCCGCTCCACCCCACCCCACCCCATAGTTGGGCGTCCTGTTCCTCACTGTGCTCCTTTTGGTACCCAAGGCCTCTGCCTTCAGAGGGTTCCAGTGCTTGATGAGTGAGGGATTTCATCTGGAATGCTTTCCACTAACTCGGGTTTCATCTGGATGTGCCTGTAAATGTTGATCTAAATCTTTTCCCCCATTTTATGAATAGACTTTCAGTAGTAGCCCCTGGTCTGAACCTACAGCCTGTTGCTTTTCTTTGATGGGCATCATCAACAGATACAGGGAGTTGAAAGCATTAAAAAAAAAAACAAAAACAAGCAAACCTTAGTGGAGGCCTTACCTGCCAGTTGGTCCTGGGGACAAGGCTTTGTTACTAAGTTTCTCTGTAAATACCATGAGCCCCTCTGTAGCTACAGGTTTCTGTGGTCACCACAGAGCACAGCCTCACTATTTCCTGTGGCTTCACTGGCTACAAAGCCTAGGGTAGCCCAGTTCAGGGACGAATAGATGCTCCTGCTGCACACAGCTGTTTCCCTCTCCCTGATTGTGTTTACTGGTCTCCCTAAACACCTCATTCCTTTGGGCCTTGCTTTTTCTAGCACCTCAGTCTCCCAGAGACTACATGGGAAAATAGAGCAGGGATGCACAAGCAGTCCCACCCACCTTCAGCCTAATCTGATTGATTCTATAAATGACCCCTTCCACTCTCCCACCTGTTTTTTGTGTAAACCCACTGGAAAGTACTTAAATCCTAAATTTGTCAGTTTTCAAAGAAAAATGGTACTGTGCATCACTGACTTAGTCTGGCTCTGGCCTCACAGAGGCAACAGGTATTTTTCCGCTGTGCTTAGGATAATATGAAGGTCCAGATTTTCTTTTACTGGTGCTGGGAAGACTCACCTTTGGGTGTGCTCCTGCTGTTAGCAGAAGAGCTGAGAAACAGTCTCACTCCAGCTTCCAGCTGAGGAAGAATGAAGCAGTAGGAGAACTCAAAGCCTTGCCAATGATGAAGAATGCCTCCTGGGAGGCGTGGGCTATGATGTGGGACATGATACAGGAACTTGTTTATTCAGCAGTTTTACATTAAAACTCCAGGTCAGAGATTCTCAGCACTGCTATACTCCAGGATCACCTGTGGAGTAAAAAATGCATATGCCCAGGCATTTACACAAATTTTGGACTCAGTAGCTCAGTAGCTCTGGAGTGGGGTTTGGAGAGCTGTATCTTTTTGTTTCTTTCTTGCTTTTTTTTTTTTTTTAAAGAGAGTTGTATTTTAAGAAGCTCCTTAGAAGTTTCTGATGCTGAGCCAGGTCTTAGCAACACTTAACAAAGCACAGGGCTCTGAAAACAGGAGTGATCCCCATCTGCCCCTTCCCTCCCATTCCAGGATGGGGAGAGAAAAAAAAACAACACAAATGGTCGTGATAATAGGCACAAAGGAGGGCTGTCCTGGAAGGATCAGAGAAGGTTTCCCAAAAACCAGATGCTGCCGTGGGAGTCTGTGTTCCCCAGGCAGGGCATCTGCTGCGGGAGGGAGCGTCTGTGTAGCTGGAGGCTTTGTGGTGGGGCGGGCGGTGGGGCAAAGCAGAAGCCCACAGACCCCAGGGAGGACTTAAAGGGTTGGACTTGAAGGCCTCTTCTGTTTCCTCTCACATCACTGAAGAGCCAGCAAGGAGCCCCAGAGGAGAATGGGGCTTGTGTAATGGAGTTTTGTTCCTTTTCAATTTTAAGTTTCTGAACTTGATGTTTTTGTTGTTTCAGAGTGTAATAAAAATATATATTTGGTCTTTGTCCCTGGCAGACAGTTTCTGAAATCCTTGGAATTTCCTGAGTGGTAAGGTTGTTAGGAGTATCTTTTGTTCTAATGAGGCAGCTCTCAGTGGGCCCCTTGATCGCTTCAGGACAGAGGCTGGCCTCCAGAAAGATGGAGACCTGCTTAGCTTGTTGGAACTTGCAATTCCACTTGCAACCCCCACTCTCTGCCCTGGACCTCCAGGGAAAAAAGAGGATCTAGAGATTAAGCGATTATCATCTGTGGCCAGTCATTTGATCAATTATGCTAGGTAATGGACTCCATAGAAACCCTTATACAGTTGAGTTTGAAGAAATTTTGGGTTGGTGAACACATCCATGTACCAGGAGGGTGGTGTTAGCATACCTTTTCTCCATACCATGCCTTATACATCTCTTCTATTTGGCTGTTCTTGAGTTTTATTGTTTGTAATAAATTGGTAATAATAATAAATAAAGTGTTTTCCGGAGTCCTGTGAGCTACCCTAGCAAATTATCTAACTTGGAGGGAAGGTCCTGTGAACCCTCGATTTTATAACCTGTTGTCAAATGAATAGGAAGCCTAGGACTTGAAATTGTTCTCTGAAGTGAGGGCCGTCTTGTGCGACTGAGCCTTTAACCGGTGGAGTCTGTGCCAGCTCTAGGTAGGCAGTGTCAGAATTGGGCTGTCAGACACCCAGTTCGTGTCTCGAGAGTTGGAGAATTGGTTGGCATGAGGAAAAAACCTACACATTTGAAGTCACAATGTTATGAATAGAAACAGTTCAGACAGAGTGATTATTTTTCTTTTCTTCCAAGTCTTTATGGCTTTATTAGACATCAGACTCCGAGACAGACCCCTGTGTTGACTTTCTTGGTCCCAGCCCATTGGGGGTGTCTACCTGCCCTGGAGGCACGAGACTTGTCATAGGCCAGCTGGACACCCTTTGTTGACCATTGAACCTCTCTAGGCCTGTGTCTTCCACTGTAAAGTGGGCATAATACTGCTCGCTTCACAGGGTGTTGAGAGGGCTGATGGAGAGCAAGGATATGAAAGAATTTTAGAAACTGAAGTCACTCTTTGGCTGCGTGGGGTTACGATATCTGGGAAATATGCCTTTTTTATTTGGTATTGTCTAGAGGCTATTGTCCATGATACTGTCTCAAAACACCTGGTCTGGGGTGTAAAGCAGTCTTGCCTAATAATAGAGGCCGCCAGGCCCTCCTCCCTTACTTTGTTTACTATGCAGACTTAAAGGGCATAAAACTGTGAAGGAAGTCTCTGTATAGACTTATTGTTTCCTCTAAGAGGAAGCAGCTTTCTGGTTTCTCCAGGACCTCCTTTGTTCCCAGTATTACCACAGCTCTACTACTACCACAGGCTACTGTTGATATCCAGATCTTCTTAATATTGCAGTTTTTATTTGCAGGCTCAATGCCAGACCAGGAGTGGGAGGTGTCCGATCTCGTGTTGGGATACAACAGAGCCTTCTTAGCCAGCCAGCACGCACAGCCACCTTCCAGCAGAGGTTTGATGCCCGGCAGAAAATTGGTCTCTCAGATGCCCGCCTCAAGCTGGGAGTCAAGGATGCCAGGGAAAAGCTTTTGCAGAAAGACGCTCGGTTCCGGATCAAAGGGAAAGTGCAGGATGCCAGAGAGATGCTGAACTCGCGCAAGCAACAGAGCACAGTGCCCCAGAAGCCCCACCAGGTCGCTGATGCCCGGGAGAAAATCAGCTTGAAGCGGAATTCCCCTGCTGCCTTCATGAGCCCACCCATTGGAGCAGTGACCCCTGCTCTGAAACTCACTAAAACCATCCAGGTAGGTTGAGACTCCTGCCAAAAACTCCTCTAAACCAGTAACAACTGGAATCAGGCAGAGGCCAGGTGTGTTTAAGCAAAATGACAGTCCCCCCAGCTGTTTGAAGAGTAACCATATGTGAAGGCAAGATATCGTCTCAGTTTTCATGTAAAAGAAAATGGGCGGAGTGGTGGGGATTTGTCCAGAGAAATTAAGTGACTTTCCAGGTGAATTAGTGGTAGAGGGAAGAGAAGAGAGGACAGATATTTGTTGAGCTAGTGCTATGTGCAGGCACTGAATATTTATTCCTCATGCAACCCCAGTTATTACCACAGTTTATAAAAGAAGAATCTAAGTCTCAAAGATGTGAATCATTGTGTGCAGCTACACAGCTGGTCAGTGGAAGCAACAGGATGGAAGCCCGGTCAGACCTGGCTCTTAGTGCAGGGTCCTGGCCACCTGCAGAGCCATTGCCCCAAAGGGAGTGGAAACAGTATCATCTGATCTTCACAGCAACTTTGGTAATAGGAACTACTGGAGCAGTGAACATTTATTAAGCCAGGTTCATTGAGCCCTGCAGGTGCATTGTTACGTGATCTCTGGGATGATGAGTCTTCCTGTCGCTTTTCTGCTTTGCGAATGAAGCACTCTGTAGGGCCTTTTACCACAGACCAAAACTGAGTGCCCACCATATTTAAAGTTCATTTATCCCCTACTTGTAGAGAACGCATGTAGGCCAAGTGGGATGAATTGTGACCACTGGGTGTTTCTAGGTTCCACAGCAGAAGGCCATGGCACCAATTCATGCTCATCCTGCTGGAATGAGGATCAATGTCGTCAATAACCACCAGGCCAAACAGGTGGAGTGTGTGTGTGTGTGTGAGAGAGAGACTGCACACAAGTGTGTGTTTTGGTGTGGTCTTCCAAGTGGATTAACTGAGGCCTGGCCCAGGGTTCCAATTTGAAGAGTTGGAGGTTGACACGTTTTGCAGTTTATGAGTTTTAAGAAGAAATTTCTTAAATGCATGGAAGCAGAGAGGCAAATTGAAAATCTTTTTATTTTTTTAAAGTAAAAGTAGTGTGTGTTTACTGTAGAAAATTAGCAAAACAGAAAGCTTGTGGGGGATGGGGGTAGTTCTTATGCTGTGGCTCTCCATAACGAGCCCCTGTTGAAATTCTGCCCTGAATTCTTCCTATGTTTTTCTTGTGTGTGTGTGTGTGTATGTGAGAGAGATTATTATTTATTTAATGCATAGCTGTAGTTGTGATTATGTAATTATCCAGTTTGATATTGTTCTATTTTCACTTTATAACTCAAGCATTTTTCTGTGATGCACATTTACTGTAAACATTTTAATAACTGCTTGATCCATTGAATAGACATTTAGTTAATTTCAACTATTTTCCTGTAATTTTCACTGTTAGACATCCTTCTCTGAACATCTTGGAGGATAAAGCTCTTTCTACAGTTTGAGTTTATTTCTATAGACCAGATTGCCCAGCACAGACTTTCTAACCAAAGGATATAAACAGGCATTTTAGGGATAGTAATAGATATTGCCCACTTGTAGAAAGGTACTTCTGATGTACCTGAAATTTCACAGCATTTGCATTCGGCTCTCATGGGCAGGGAGCTGCCAGAACTGAGCTACAGTCACCCAGGCCAGTTTGCCCAGGCACTTCATATGTACCCACTTCTCCCTCCACCTCACTTAATTCCAGCTCTCATCTCCCTGCTGTCCTTACTCCAAATGTCTGCTGAGAGCCTGCATGCTACATTAGCATGTATTTCTTTATTTTCAGAATTTATATGACCTGGATGATGACGATGATGTTATAGCTCCCATTCCTACTAAACAGATGAAATTTGCAGCCTCAAGCAGCTTTCTCCACCACATGGTATGTTATCTTACATTCTTCTTACACTCTATATGTCTGATCAGGTACATGGGAGACGTGATGGAGAGTAGGATCTTTCAATTCGGAAATATTTCCTCATTTGGGTCCTAAGATTATCAGAACCGGAACTAATCCAACCCCTGGTTTTTATGAATACTGAGGCTTAGCATGTCTGCAGACTTGTTCAAGACCCGACAAGACAGTGAAGTGCAGGCTCTAGTTCCCAATTGCTGTGTTTGGAGACTTCAGGGGAAATGTGAGTGATCCCACAAGACAGAATCACATTTTATTTCCTTTAGGGCAGGACATTCTGCTGGTTCCCTTTCTTCTGTGGTCATCAGCTCTGGCCCCATTCTTGAATCTGGATTCCCTTGGTTGGTGTGTTAGCAAGAATAAACTGAACCTTTCCTGAAAGCTCCACCAGGTGCTGCCTGTGTGGAGGGAAAGTTTGATGGATGTTCTGCCATGCAGAGAAGGAAAGAAAGCGGTATATTTGGGAACATCAGGGAACTCTGCACTGCTCGGCTCAGTGCATGCGACCAAATCACACATAGGAAGCGAGTGGGTACCCAAGCTAAGTGCCTTTGTTTGGTCTTCAGGCACCCAAAGACTCAGTTTTAGCCACTGCACTGAATATGTGGACCAATTTCCTGGTTACCCTTGAAGCTTTTAACTTTGAAATATGAAGCTGAATGATGCCAGTTTGTTACAAAGTGGCTGAGCCTTTCTAGTCATTAGAGTGCTTGTGTCTTATTACCAGGCGGGCTGTCAGCTAACTCAGTTAGTGGCTAACCGTAAGTGGAAAAATCTGTTTATATTAACTTATTAAGAGTTCCCTTTCTCACCACCCTGTGAGATGGGTACTGTTACTACCCCTATTTTATGGACTAGGAGTTAGACACAGAGAGGTTAAATAAATCTGCTCAGCTTGTAAGTAGTGGATCTAGGATTTAAGCCTCAGCAGTCTGGCTCCCAGGCCACGTTTTAACCACTGCACTCTGCTGGGTCTTGAGACTCAGGAAATAGCTTGAGAAGTGTGGGGTCCACACTGAGTCACCTGGGTTGGTGAATTAACCCTATTCCATCATCTGTCTCTCTGGCCGCTGCATTCCTTCTTTCTCCATGAATCAATGGCTGGTAGACACTGTCCTCAGTCAACCAGACCACTAACCACTTCTGCCTCATGCATTTTTTTTCTCCAGACACATTAAAACCAGGCGGTGTGCTGGTTTATATTTCTAAGGGGTCACTTGCCCAGTTAAGGGTAGCAGGGGAGGGAAGGAGGGAACGGTTTCTGTTGGTTTGCACGTGCTGACTCTGCTAGCATGCACCTGACCATCTGGGAGTTGCAAAGGTGAGCTACTTGTGGTTCCTCTATATGACCAGAACAGGGTCCTTCTTAAGAGTGACTTCCTAGTCCCATCCAGCCCATGGTGATAGAAGCATATCTGGGAATGAACTTGTCTCCAAGCTTTTGGACTCTGACTAACTTCCAAACTGTAAAACCAATTCTAAATGGTATGGCTGAGCTGTGGCTCCTGTTCGGGAACTGCCTGGATGCTCCTTGCCAAGTGCTCCTGACACTGGAACGTGGCTTCTGTGAGCACGTGTACAGTCTGCTTTTCTCTTCTCCTGTCCCTTCCCTGGCAGCTGGTACCTTTCTGGCTTTAGATCAGTAATGGAACTGGGGAGGTAGGAGGCCTTGAGATTGGGGATCGTCAGTCCCCTAGGGTATCTGGGTCCCTGGCTTCTCAGATTCCTGTCTGCCTTTTTGTTTAGGCCGGGGTGAGCAGTTCCAAGCTCTCCATGTCCAAGGCCCTTCCTCTCACCAAAGTGGTTCAGAATGATGCGTACACTGCTCCTGCTCTCTCCTCCTCTGTTCGGACAAAAGCCTTGACCAACATGTCCCGGACATTAGTGAACAAGGAGGAGCCCCCCAAAGAGCTGCCGCCTGCAGAGGTGAGGTGAAGGCGAAGGAGAAGTGTTCACACTAGTCTAGAGTTAGCCTGAGCTGGGTGGGCAGTGTGCATCCCGTTGGGTCCTCAATTGGAGGACCTCTGTACATCTGTGAGGTAGGTGTTGCCACCCGTGTTTTACAAATGAGCAAACCAAGATCCAGTAGCCCCCGCCCTCAGAGAGCCCACAGGCAAGCAAGTAGGGAGAACAGAGCTGCAGACAGAGCACTGTGTCTGTGGGACAGCAGAGGGCTGCCAGAGCACTGATGGAAGAACATCTCATTCCGCTGGGGAAGTAGAGGAAGGCTTTAAGGAGAAGGTGCATCTGAGCCAGATGGGTCTTGAAACATGAGTGGCATTCTGTGCAGAGGTTCAGGCCTGAAAGGGCCTGGAATATTTGGGAAACATGAGAGGTTCCATTCCGTAGCATAAGGTGACGGGGACATGATTAGAGGGGCCCAGCTGTGATAAGAAACCCTCCATAGAGGTTTCCTCTGGGCCTTCCTGGTCGTTTGCCGAAGTGAGTTCTGCTGTTTGAGCACAGCGGTTCTCTGGTAACGTTCTGTTGTCTGGTAACTTCTGGTAATGTTCTTCTATCTGTGGCAGCCTGTCCTCAGTCCTTTGGAAGGCACCAAGATGACCGTGAATAATCTGCACCCTCGAGTCACCGAGGAGGACATTGTTGTGAGTACTGTGGCCTGCCAGAATTTCAGATCTCAAGCCACTTCTGTTCCAAGGGTCCCCAAGACCACCCCCAGGTTAGCTGATTGTCTAAGAGGACTCACAGGACTTAGCATAGAGTTGTGTCAGGGCTGAGATGCATTACAGAATACAAAGCAAAATCAGCAGAGGGAGACAACTTGTGGATGAAAAGCTAGAGGAAAGCAGACTCAAACTTCTGGAGTCCTCTCCTAGGGGAGTCACACAGAATGTACTTACTCCCCCAGCAATCAGTTGTAAAGACCTGAGTAAAACCAGGGAATCTCATTAGAGACTCAGTCCCCAGAGTTTTTCCCAGGGACTAATCACATATGCACCCTCTGCCACATACCAAAATTCCACACACAGAAGGAAATCAAGTGTTTGGCATGAACCACATTGTTGGCACAGTTTAGGCGCAGGGTACCACTCTTACTGGTTACAGTGATGAGAGCCCTCCCAGAATCCAAGATCCCAGACACGAGCTAAGGGTCAACCTTGGAAGCAGTCCTTCCAAGGGAGAGCAGACAGGCCAGATACGTTAACCCCTTTTCCTCATAGCCTGTAAACTAGAGCCAGGGGAATTCCTTGGTGGCCAGTGGTTAGGACTCGGAATTTTCACTGCTGGGGCCTGGGTTCAATCCCTGCTTGGAAAACTAATATCCCACATGCTGCACAACATGGCCTAAAGTAGATCTTTAAAGACAATAATAAAATTAGGATCATACTTAGTATTCAGTTTTGTGTCTTGGTTTTGATATGTACCATTTTCCCTTTTATCGTTGGAAATCATTTCAACGACCTTTTCACAGATCTTCTCTTTGTCCTCATTACAACCTTGTGAAGGCAGTTGCAGGTGAAGAAATGGTATGGTTGTTAGCCTTTGCAGTCTGTATCCATGCTGTGTTCCCTCTCTGACTTCAGTCTCTTCATCTGAGAAATGAGGAATTGGAGTAAAGGATGATGACGACACGTGTACAAAGCACTGCCTTGAAAATGGTTTCAGTTGAAACCCCTCAATCTAGCCAACCAGGATGATTGGTCACCCTGCATTGAACTGTGGAATTTGTGTTTCTGACTGATTCCCGGGTGATATATTAGCCACTGTTTGTACATCCATGTGGACATCCAGTGGAGCCTACATGTCCATCCATTTTCATGACACAGCACTCTTGACAGCAATTCCATATTCCATTATCCTTGTTAAGGAAGTGGGCATTGAGGCAGGAGGACTTTGGGGTTGACTTGGAATCATAGGGATCCTAGGCTTATGAGCCCAGCACAACTCGTTCCCTCATCTGGCCCCAGGTTGAGGCCTCTGGATGTCCCAGGAATACTACCTGACATGGAGCCTTCCTGAAATCTTGGCTGCTTGGCATGTTCAATCAAAGTGAAGCCACCTGTCAACCCAGAGCCCTGTCTGAAGTATGTGAATTGCAGGCAGGGAAGACGACCGCGTGAAATTCTTCCCCAACTCAAGCCCTCTTGCTCTTCATAGGAGCTTTTTTGTGTTTGTGGAGCCCTGAAGCGAGCTCGGCTGGTCCATCCTGGGGTAGCAGAGGTGGTGTTTGTGAAGAAGGACGATGCCATCACCGCATATAAGAAGTATAATAACCGGTGTCTGGATGGTAAGTCAGAGAAAGCAGCCTCCTCACCTCGATGCTCTTCGCCACACACAGCAGGCCTTCGGGGGAAGCCCTCTTCTGGGACGAGTGGGTGGACATCCTAGTGCCTTAAACTCTCCAGGGCCTCCTGTGTACTAAAAACAAGCAGTGATGTTTTATTTTTAATTGAAGTGTGGTTGATTTACAATGCTGTGTTAGTTTCAGATGTACAGCACAGTGATTCAGTTATATATATCTTTTTTTCAGATTCTTATCCCTTTAAGGTCATTACAGAATACTGAGAAGTTCCCTGTGCTATGCTATGCAGTAGATCCTTGTTGGTTATCACAGCCTTTGCCTTTTGATTGTATTATTTAATCCATTTACATTTTATGTGGCCTTTTTTGCATTATATAAGTATTTTTTAGTGTAGCATTTTAGTTCCTTTAATGATTTTTTCCAAACTGTATGTTTTGAGTCACTTTTCTTAACAGTTGCTCAGGGATTTATAGTATATATTGTAGGTTATCAGAGTCTATTTCAGATTAATATTAATATAGCTACAGTGAAATTTAGAAATGTTACTCTAATAAGGCTCTATTCCCACTTTCCCCTTTTTTGTGCTGTTATTGTTATACTTACTACATAAAATGCAAAGTGAGAGTCTGGTACTTGTGAGGTTAATCTTTCATGGACAAAGTAGAAATCTGAATATACACTTTGGAATTTTTTTTCACTTAATTTTGTACCATAAACATTTCCCCTTTCTACTTGTTTCACAGCCAGTTTGGGTTGTTTCATGCTGTGTTTACTTTCTCCCTTACTTTGATTCTGATCTCCTCCTGCGTGAAGAAGGGTCTTTTGCCAGTTTGCTTCCTGACACTGTCATTACCAGAGTTTCGTGGGCCTCATAACCCTCATTGTCTCTGGGCTTTGCTGAGACCTGACAGCCCCAGCACTAGCTGTGAAACAGAGCTGCCAGTGGTGGGTGCTTTGCCTCCTGGTAATGAAAGTGGCAGTCCCTTTCCTTCCATGTGAGGAGCTGAGGGCTCATGGCAGAGCTTTTTCTTTTTTGGTTTTTCAGGGCAACCAATGAAGTGCAACCTCCACATGAATGGGAACGTTATCACCTCAGACCAGCCCATCCTGCTGTAAGTTCCAAAGGCAGAGGTGCTGGGGGCCATGTGGGGCTTTGCTGCTTGCTTACTGGGCATGATCATCTCTGTTCAGAGGGGTGAAATGCCTGCATCACAGCTCCATTCCATTTCCTCTGCTCTGAGAGCAGGCAGCCGACTAGGAAACTTAAATTTATACAGAGTGGGTTGTTACATCATTTCTTCAGGAGATTGACCCCACAGGGGCTAACTTAACCTCATTCCCTGACTTATAATTTAGAAAGTAGAGAGCAGGCTGGTTGTGTCCCTGTTGGCACGATTGGGTGTGCATCGTCAGATGAGCAGAAAACCCACCTCCTCATGATTGACTCTGATGGGGACTGTGTTGGGTGCTCCCCCTTGTTTTGTTACACACCCAGTGTACATGCCTGGCCCAGGACTGAGGACTTTTTGAAGCCTGAGATGCAGAAAATGTCTAGATTGATATGTAAAAGAAGGTCCTTTTGAGGAGGAGACAGAGACCCAGGGAGAATAAAGACTGCAGTTTGAACCCTCGATATTGAATTGTGTGGTTTAAATAAGTTTCTTAAACTGTGTTCCAGGATTAAGTTGTATTCTGAAAAATGAGGGTTTTATGACCTAGTGGATTTGGGAACCACTGGGCTAGACCCAGTAAAATCTACTGGACTTTTCAGAATGTGTGATATGCTGATGTGTGTTTGGCTATCCTTGAGGCTTAAACTTAAAACCCCAGATCTTAGTAGGCTGCATCTTGACTTTCTTAGCAAATTTAAAGAATGGTAAGTTTGCTATAAGAAATGGGGTAAAAGGGTATAGAAAGCATTATGTTTGGTGCCTAGCTTATAACAGATCTCCAGCTAATGGTGGGACCCTTCTCCACTGAAAGGGGACCCGACGAGGATTTTGACTCTTCTCTGGTCTCTACAGACGGCTGAGTGATAGCCCCTCAGTGAAAAAGGAGAGTGAGCTGCCTCGCAGAGTGAATTCTGCTGCCTCATCCAACCCTCCAGCCGAAGTGGATCCTGACACCATCCTGAAGGCGCTTTTCAAGTCATCGGGGGCCTCTGTGACCACACAGCCCACAGAATTCAAAATCAAACTTTGAGCGGGGGAGCGAGACAGCCAGACACAGGGGCAGAGGAGGGTGGCTCTGTTTCCCTAAACAAAGGTTGTGACCAATGGGCCATTGTCTGGGGGCCCCCAAGTGCAGGAAGGGTCACTGGGGGTAGAAAGCCTCCTCACTGGACGGTACCCGCCTTTCTGTGTTGTGTTCTGCCTTGTGCTCTTCTGTATGTTAACATTTCCTGTAGTACGTTTCTTCTCTCTCCACCTCATCACCAAGGTAGACTTGTGTTGTTCAGAAAGTTTCCCCCTAAACTCAGCCCCAGATAGATTTTTTAAAATCTGGAAATGGTGCCCTAAATTCTCTGGGTGGCCTTCTTGTGGCCCCATAGAATGCAGGGCAGGGGCTGTTTGAAGGATACTGCTTTCTTCAGGGTGAGAGTTTGACTCCCCTTTCTCTTTTTAAAACTTTTCAAACAAAGTAGGGGATGGAAGCCCCTGCCATCCTAATAGGAACCACATTGGCTCAAAAGCTCTGCCACTCACTCTACTGGTCAGTGGAGATGGCCTAGGTGGGGATCAGGTCACGGGCTCCTTGTCCTCTCCCCGCAGTTGGCTTCAGACCAATGCTTTCTGGAGAGAGCCCTGTGGCAAGGGCAGGGTGAGGCTACTGCTCTGCTAGGAAGACTGTACCCTAGCTCTTGGTTTGGGGCACCCTACTGTCTCACTTGACCCAGAGTAAATTCTCGAGCTCACATTTCCCCTTCCCCTGAATTGTGCCGAGTGGCCCAGCCCAGCTCTCTTGACCTTCTGAGTGTCACTGCTGGGCGGGGTTGCCTTGTTAGTCCCCCATTTCTCACCCAGCCTAGCACTTGTCACACTTGGTTTTGGTGCAAATGCCAGCTCTCTGCTAGTTGGGATTTCAAAGGGTCTGCCTCCTGTTCTGTGACACTGAGGACCTTGGGGGTTATTTGAATAGGAGATGGCTTGCTCCAAGATGTTTTTTTCCTGGCCTCGGGTTCATGCGATAGTCAGGGATGCTGAGAGGTGGCAAATGCCCAGCAGCCACCAGGGGGCACTGTCTCCACTACTGTGAGCAACCCATCCATCCTGACCAGAGGGGCATTTTCCTGCCTTGACAGGTGGGAGGGGAGCAGGGGGCATTGGGGAGGAGTTGAGAGAGCAGAGCAGCCTTTCAGGCAAGTGGACAGGTTGTTCCCTCAGCGTGGTTCCCGGCATTGGGGGCACAACTCTAGAACCAAAGGGGCAGCCCTGAATACACCAGGACAGCATTACTCCAGGGGCGTTCATCCTCAGTTTCTTGCTGCTTTGGTGGGACTGTAGAGGGAATCCAGCCCAGCAGAGCTGGCAAGTCTTGGGGAGCAAGATTCTGTAAGTAAATAGTGTGAAAGGCACAAGCCTAGAAAGTGTAAGGGGGGCCTGAGACAGAGTCTCTCATGGCCTACTTGGGGCCAGTCCCGTGAAGAAAACCTGGAAACTCACATTTCCACAGAGTTAGATCAAGTAGCAAGGACCTAGGGTTTGAACTCAGCTCAGTCCTCCAGCTCTGAGGTTGCCCAGGCCTGGGAAGTCCAGGGAACGTGCCTGATGGTGGTCCACTTTCCAGTACTTCGAAGAAGGCTGCTTTTGTTCCCTTCTCCCTCTTTGAATGGGTGCAACCTAAGTTCTCTTCATCAACTAGAAGACATTCCTCCTACACTTTCCCTTTCTTGACCCCAGAGAGTGTCCATAAGACACTAGGAGCTGGCTTCTCAGGTCTGGAGACAGTCAGATCACTGTTTGGACTCTGCGTTCAGTAGGGAAGGTAACTATGTTGCCTGTATGCCTTTATCCTCCCACTGGCCCTCTAGACCTTGTCCTGTGGGTAGCCATGGGGTCCATTGCCGGCCAGTGTTGCCCCCTGTTCCGCAGGTGTCGTCATGGGAAACAGAAGAGACGGTGGTGGGCCAGTCCTTGGGTCCCTCGCCACCTCCCACTCCCCTGCATTCCCCGTCTGTCTTTTTTTTTTCCAAAAGGAGAGGAAGAGGCATTAAGGGATGGAGGAGATTATGTGTTACTTACCCATTTCTGAATAAACATTTGTTATTCCTACTTTGAGCTGTCATTTCTTAAAAGATTATGTTTAAAAAAAAAATTATGTTAAGGGGCCTCTTGGAATTTGGCACCAGAAAACAGAGATTTGCCTCTGCTTTGCTGCTCACCAGCTATGACCTTCAGACAGTTCCTCACAGGACTCTTTGAACTTTGGTCTCCACAGTTGAGAGAATATGAGCATGAATGTCTGGGAAAGACCTAGCATAAGAACTTAGTACCTCCTGGCCCTAAAGTGCCTCACTGAGTGTAAGCATGGTCAATTCGAACATAGTTAGGTCTATTCATAGGGAACTGGGGAGTCTATGTGTTGAGGTTACACTTATGGGTAAAATTTACCTCTTAGATCAACTATGCACTAGAAAAAAATTAGTTGTTGGTAGGTTTTTTTATTTTGTGTTAAAATATACATAAAGTTTATCATGTTAACTACTTTTAAGTTTACAGTTCAGTGATGTTAAATACATTCAGAGTTGTACAACCATCACCACCATCCATCTCCAGAGCTTTTTCATCTTGTGGAGCTGAAACTTTCCTTCAAACCCCAGCCCCTGGCAACTACTAGTCTACATCCTGTCTTCATGATTTTAACTACTCATGAAGGTGGAATCATAGAATATTTGTCTGTGACTTTATTTTCTTGGGCTCCAAAATCACTGCAGATGGTGACTGCAGCTATGAAATTTAAAAGACGCTTGCTCCTTGGAAGAAAAGCTATGACAAACCTAGACAGCATATTAAAAAGCAGAATCATTACTTTGCCAACAAAGGTCCGTATAGTCAAAGCAATGGTTTTTCCAATAGCCATGTATGGATGTGAGAGTTGGACCATAAAGCTGAGCGCCGAAGAACTGATGCTTTTGAACTGTGGTATTGGAGAAGACTCGAGAGTCCCTTGGACTGCGAGGAGATCCAACCAGTCCATCCTAAAGGAAATCAGTCCTTAGTATTCATTGGAAGGACTGATGTTAAAGCTGAAACTCCAATACTTTGGCCATCTGATGTGAAGAAACTGATTCATTGGAAAGGACCCTGATGCTGGGAAAGATTGAAGTTGGGAGGAGAAGGGGACAACAGAGGACGAGATGATTGGATGGCATCATCAACTTGATGGACATGAGTTTGAGAAAGCTCCGGGAGCTGGTGATGGACAGGGAAGCCTGGCGTGCTCCAGGCTTCCCTGTCCATGGAGTTGTAAAGAGTTGGGACATGACTGAGCAACTGAACTGAACTTCGACTTAACATAATGTCCTCAAGATTCATCCATGTTGTAGCATGTGTCATTTCTTTTTAAGGCTGAATAATACTCTGCTACGTGCATATACCATATTTTGCTTATCCATCTGGTGGACACTTGGGTTGCTTCCATGTTTTAGCGATTGTGAATAATGCTATGAATGTGAATGTACAAATATCTCTTCAAGACTCTGTTTTCAACTCTGGGTGTATACCCAGAAGAGGAATTGCTGGATCATGTGGCGGTTCTATTTTTAATTTTTTGAAGACTTAACCATTTTGAATTCCACAGTGGCTGCACTATTTTACATTCTTTTATGGGAAGATGGAATGGAAGTATTTTATCCCTATCCTTTCCACTAAATACAACTTTGGATATTTTATGTAAAACATAAGACTGAAAGGTGGAGAGAAAATAGACTGGCTGGGGCCCCAGTGCATGACCAGCATTGAGTTCCCTGGGTTTCCTTTTTGTTTCATATGTGCCAAGCTGGGTGCTGAGTAAGCAGACCAACCAAAAAACCCAAGTGAGGACCCGAAAAGGGATAGCTTAACAAGACAAAACTAGTAGTGAAACACCACAGGAAAAACTAGCCTCACCTTCATTGGTAAATGACAAGTTGAGTCCTAGACATGCATCCTCGCTCAGTAGGCTGTATTGGGGGCACCCCCAAATGTGCAGGAGTGGAGTCAGAGAAGGCCAAACGGGGCTGGTGTCAGTGGAGGCCACAGGAGGAGAAATGGGTGCCGCCCCCCCCTCCCCCCACAGGTCCTCCCAACCAGGGTATTAGCAGAGGGTGGTGGGATGATGCAGCTCACTGCCACCCATAACCTGGTAGTAATGAAGCAGTTCCTTTCTGTGCCCATTAGAGGAGGTGTGCTGTAACATTTAAATAAGACCCAGAGCTTTCTTAATGCCTGTTTCAGTCAAGAGTCTGATCAAGATCAGGAAAATTTCACCCTGAAGGAGAAAAGACAATGGATGTTAACTCCATGATGACAGAGATGTTAAGTTACTGATAAGGAAACAATTGAAGAAATATTTGAACTTCAAACAATTGAAGTAAAGAAATGGAAAACCATTTCAAGTTGGTTTCAAAGGTAGAGAAGAACCATTTCAAGTTGAAAAATACACCAAATTCCCTGGCGGTCCAGTGGTTAGGACTTTGCCCTCACTGCTGGAGCCATGGACTTGATTTCTGCTTAGGGAACTAAGATCCTACAAGCCTCACAGGGCAGAAAAATAAAGTTGAGAAGTACAAGTACCATTCTCCCCCTCCTGACCCCCCCCACCCAAAGCAATGGAGAAGAATCTGAACTTGAAGCCAAAACAATAGAAACTACCCAATCTGAACAATAAGGAAAAACAGACTTAAAAATAATGAAGGACTTTAAGGGCCTATGGTACTGTAACAAAAAGTCTAAAATCTGTATCATGAGTCCCAGAAAGAGAAAAGTAAAAGTCGAAGAAATAACGACTGTTGGGAGTTCTCTGGTGGCCTAGTGGTTAGCAAAAATAATAACATGTTCTCAATGAATGTAAGGGAAATATTTAAAACAATTATAAATGGGAAAGGGCTAAGGGATATCTAGAGAAGGAATGTTTCTGCAGTTAGAAATAACAACACTGATAAAATAACAGTATACTGTGGTAACTTTTAAAAATATATATATTTACATAATATTTACATAAAATAATGTTTACATATTTATGTATTGTTTTACATATACATACTGTATGTACTTTAATTCTTTATTCCAAGCATATGAAGGTTGGTGATGGACAGAGAGGCCTGGCGTGCTGCAGACCATGGAGTCGCAAACAGTCGGACACGACTGAGCGACTGAACTGGACTGAACTGAAGGTTGGGCCCTGGGAGGACCGCGGGAGTGGACAGGAGGGGAGTACGGACTGCAAGAGGCTGGCCTGGAACCGAGAGGGCGGGGCCCCAGGCGGCGCCGTCGTCACGGAAACGGCTACCAACTACAACTCCCAGCATCCCCCGCAGCTTCCGGTCGGCAAGATGGTGGCGCGCAGAAGAAAGCGTGTGGCGCGGGAGTCTGAGTCCAGGGTTCCAATCCTGCCCGGCTACTCAGGTGAGGAGGTGCGGGGCGCGAGGCCGGGGAGTGGCCAGGCTGCTCCAGGAAGAGGCTGAGGGGTCGGCAGTGGCTCAGGACCTCGAGGAGCAGTCGCACGCTTGGACGTGAGCCCCAGAAGGTTCTGAAGCCCCGGCCCCCTCAGCTCACGCTGCCCCCCTTACCGTCTGGCTTCACTTGGCTCGGGACGACCCTAGTTTGGCCAACGCTTTCCTTGAGTGAACCCGCCGCTACACTTTCCAGGGCGAACCTGTGTCCGTCTACATTCTCCGCCCCGCCGAGATACACCCATCCACTTATTAGCCCCTCGTTGCAATTCTTGGTCCAGCCCCCTCAGCGCTCACCTCGCCTGTTATGTGCCCTCCTCACTGGTTCTCCTGCCTTCCTCACTGGTTCTCCTGCCTTCTGTTTTTCACCCAGGTGCCAGAATGTTCTTTCTAAAGAAAGACTTAACTCAGATCTTGCCTCACACGCCCATCCCCGCAGAACCCTGTTCAGTGACTAAAGTTAGCACGTAAAACAAAATCCAGAGTTCACATCTGTCCTATCCTGGTTCTAGCTAACCTACAGCTCGGTCTTTCTGTTTTCTCCAAGACAACAAGCTGTTTACTCCCACAGAGTTTTTGTACTTATTGTCTTTTTCCTCTGAGTTCCTCAGACAGCTCTGCCCTGTTACAGGGCTTCGTGTCATTCCAGTCGAAGCTTTTATGTTACTTCCTCAAAGAGGTGGTCCTGATAGATGCCTGTCTAAAGGCCTGTGTCACCCATTACCCTGCACTACTTCACTCTGTGTGTTTCCTTCCTGTTTGGAATTCTGTTTGTTTATTTTTGGCTGTGCGGGGTCTTGGTTGCTGCTCCGGCTTTTCTCTAGTTGCCAGGAGTGGGGCTGCTCTCTGGTTGCAATGCGCTTCTCATTGCAGTGGTTTCTTTTGTGGCGCATGGGCTCTATCTAGGTAGGGCATGCAGGCTTCAGCAGTTGCCGCTCCCGGGCTCTAGAGCACAGAGTCAGTAGTTGTGGTGCACAGGCTTCGTTGCACTGTGGCATGTGGCATCTTCCCAGATCCGGGATCCAACCTGTGTCTCCTGCGTTGGCAGGTGTATTCTTCACCACTGAGCCAAGAGGGAAGTCCCTGGTGGAAGCTTTAATGTTACTTCCCCAAAGAGGTGGTCCCGAAAGGCCTCTGCCTCCCATCAGCCCGCTCTACTTCACTCTTGTGTTTCCTTCCTATTTTATACCACCTTGTTACATGCTGACTTGTTCTGTCTTCTCACTTTACCACGTGAGCTTCCTGAGTGCAGGGCTTGCACCTGGATCCTCTGGATCCTCTCTGTGCCCTAAAGAAGGTGGTGAGAAAGAAAGAACAGTCCTTAGCTTTTCGGAGGATTAAAGTTTATGGGAATGCTAGCGATTATCCAAATCATCACACACCAAGGGACTTAGAGACCGAGAGAGATGTTAAGAAGGCACAAAGCAGATAGATCTAACCTGGTATGTAAGGCTCTCCTGAGGAAGTGAAAACCTGACGAATGGATGGAAGGAGGCGGGTTGATGTTTCAGAACAGCATGGGTGAGGCCCTGGCTGATTGGAACAACAGAGAGGATGCATGTGGGTTGGAGAGGGGAAGATGGGGTGAAGAGAGGCTACACGGGGGACCGTGGTAAGGATTTGGGGTTTACCCCCAGAGCAGCAGAGTTTGAACTCTCTTCTTTCGCATCCCATTTACATTCTCTCTATTGCCGGCATTGGAGCCCCTCCTGCGCAGATGATGTTCGTTCCGCCGCATAGCCTGCAGAAGCATCTTGCACAGGCCTTGCCTAGGAGAAGAGCTCAGTGAAGGATGGATGGGTGGATGGACGGACAGACAGGCACACAGGACTAGAAAGGGACAGCCTGAACCTGACTCATGTGTCATCCCTCCCCGTCCCCGTGTTCCTTCCAGCCATTCCGATAAAATTCTCTGAAAAGCAGCAGTCTTCTCATTACCTCTATGTGAGAGAGCACAAGGTTCGAGAAGGCACCAGGTCTTCCTGGCCTCAGAAGCGGACCCTTTTTGTCCTCAATGTGCCCCCATACTGCACAGAGGTAACTGGGTGTCTGGGAGGGAACCTGGGCCTGGGGCAGGGGCTCCTGTGGGCCCCCCACCCCTCAGTCCTCAGTGATGAGAGGCAAGCAGCTACCTGAAGCCCCAAGGGTCTGTGTCACGAAGTCTCCATCTCTTGTGACAGGAAGTTGGCTTTTTAAAGGTGTGCTTTTCAGAAAAAAAAAAAGATAAAGATGTGCTTTTTTAAATATAATTCTCTAGGGAGCCCATAGCTTTTTATACGTTACCCAGAATTGCTTGAGTTACATGTTTTTTCCCCTGATTATAAAATTGATACATGTCCATTGCAGGTAGTGTTATAGTACAGCTGAAGTGTTCTGTTGCCTAAAGCAGTTGTTGCATAACTATGTCTGCCAAGCATAATTCCACCCAAAGACAGAGACACGTGAAAGTGAAAGTGTTAGTTGTTCAGTAGTGTGGACAGGAGCCCTCCAGGCTCCTCTGTCCTTGGAATTCTCCAGGCAAGAATACTGGAGTGGCAACCCCGTGGACAGTAGCCCTCCGGGCTCCTCTGTCCTTGGAATTCTCCAGGCAAGAACACTGGAGTGGCAACCCCGTGGACAGTAACCCTCCAGGCCCCTCTGTCCTTGGGATTCTCCAGGCAAGAATACTGGAGTGGCAACCCCGTGGACAGTAGCCCTCCGGGCTCCTCTGTCCTTGGGATTCTCCAGGCAGGAACACTGGAGTGGGTTGCCAGGCCCTCCTCCAGGCACACACTTGTTCTCAAACATTTTTTCTTGAGTATTGTGAAGGTTGTGCTAACTACTTGTGTGAAGTCTGACAACATAAACATTCTTTTGTTTTTAAATTGATACGTGCCCATAGTAACAAAATAAGAAAAGCAGGAGAAAATAAAATTACCTCTGAGTCTACTGTGCAGAGATTTCCCAGGAGGCGCTAGTGTTAAAGAACCCGTCTGCCAGTGCAGGAGACATAAGAGACGAGGGTTCAATCCCTCCAGGGAGATCCCCTGGAGGAGGACATGGCACCGACTCCAGTATCCTAGTCTGGAGAATTCTATGGACAGAGGAGCCTGGTGGGCTACAGTCCATAGGGTTGCAAAAAGTTGAATATGACTAAGGTGACTTAGCAAGCATGCACTACTGTGCAGACATGTCTATTACTTTTTTTTTTCCTTCACGAAAGTATTTCTTTAGTTTACAGAAAAGAAACTAAAGGAATTGCTGGATTTTCGATGAATTTTTTTTTCAGAAAAGAAATATTAATTTCTGAAAGATTCCTCTGCAGCTAAAGAGAGAAACAGTGAGAGGGGAGGATGTCGTTTTTAACGTTTCCTGAAGACTAGTGTATGAACAGAGAAGCACCTGAGCCCAAGTGTAGCACTCGCAGCACTTGACAGATTGAGCCAATCTGTGTCATCAGTGCCCAGACTGGAAAACAGCATCACCCACACCCCAGAAATCCCCCTGTGCCCCTTCCTCCTGCCAAGGGTGACCACCATCCTGATTCCAACAGGGTAGGTTTAGTTATTTCTAAATGGCTGATTCAGGTAGTAAAACTTAATTGGTTGTCTTATAAAATCAGAATACGACTAAAAACATCCCCACCTATTCTTTTAGAGACTCAGGTTCGATCCCTGGGTCGGGAAGGTCCCCTGGAGGAGGGCATGACAACCCACTCCAGTATTCTTGCCTCGAGAATCCCATGGACAGAGGAGCCTGGTGGGCTACAGTCCATGAGGTCGCAAAGAGTCAGACACGACTGAAGTGACTTAGCACGCATGCATTCTTGTAATAGTGGGAAAAAGAAAAGTTGAGAACCCACTCCTTCTTTGGAGATCCTTCAGAGAAATTGACGGGAAGAGAGAACTTTCAGCCAGATGGCCTTTCAAAGGGAGCAGTCCCTTTCCGGAACAGACAGAGCATACCCTAGGCACATGCTCCAGCAGGGTCCGGTGGTAAAGCCAAAAAATTATACCTGAATTCTGTCTCCCCTCTGTCTCCTCCCTCACGAGTCCCTTTTTACCCACAGCTTTGAACACAGAGTCAAAAAAGGTAGTCCCATACTAACGCATATATATGGGATTTAGAAAGATGGTAACGATAACCCTATATGCAAAACAGAAAAAGAGACACAGATGTACAGAACAGACTTTTGGACTCTGTGGGAGAAGGCAAGGGTGGGATGTTTTGCGAGAACAGCATCGAAACGTGTTTGTTATCAAGGGTGAAACAGATCACCAGCCCAGGTTGGATGCATGAGACAAGTGCTCGGGGCTGGTGCACTGGGAAGACCCAGAGGGATGGGATGGAGAGGGAGGTGGGAGAGGGGATCGGGATGGGGAACACATGTAAATCCATGGCTGACTCATGTCAATGTATGGCAAAAACCACTACAATATTGTAAAGTAATTAGCCTCCAACTAATTAAAAAAAAAAAAAAGGTATTCCCCTCGGGCCGTGGGGGTCTGGGGTTGTGACCTCAGTGTTGAGGAGGGGGTGGCGTGCCCAGGCCCTCTATGCGCGCCCCCCCAGGCTGGACTCCGAGGCTCCGGTGTGGCAGGAGGCTCACCCTGCGCTTCTCTCCACCCGGCAGGAGTGCCTGTCCCGCCTCCTGTCCCCCTGCGGGCCCGTCCAGTCGGTGGAGTTACAGGAGAAGCCGGAGCTTGCTGAGAGCCCAAAGGAGCCCCCGTCGAAGTTCTTTCACCCCAAACCAGTTCCCGTAAGCCTGCAGGACCCGTGCCGGGCCAGTGAGAGTGTGGGTGGGGCCCGAGCGGCGTCCCCGGCGTGTGGGGGAACGTGGCGTCCGGGGTGGCCGCGGCACTTCAGGGGTTGCCTGTGGTCAGGCCCGTCCAGACCTGTGTGGTCTAGGAGGCCTGTCAGCTGAGTGGCCTCCACCGGGATTTGCCACGGCCTGAGCTTCCCATCCGGCTCTTTGCATTTGTCCTGGGGGGAAGCTCAGAGACATCTCAGCTTCCTGCCAGAGGGACCTCCCCAAGCACCCCCATCGCTGGCTTCACCCCGCGGAAGTCAATTCTTCCTTAGGCTCGGTCACCCTGGTCTCCCTTCTCTGCTTCCGGGAGCCCACACCTCCTCCTGTTGAGGGCACTTTGCACTAGCGGGTGCCCCCCGCCCCATCTGTCCGTCCACCCCTGGCCCCGGGAGAGCACACCCTCCCCTGAGTCCCTCCCACAAGTGGAACAGGGACCCCCGGGGTCCACCACTCCCTGGTGAAGACGTGGCATCGGGTCACTCTTAGCAGAGGTTGTGTAGCTAGGAGTGTGGGTGCCCCACCCCCGGGTAAGAACAGCCCTTCTCCCCCTGGTCCTGCGACAAGGTCAGGCTGATGGCGGGTAGGGGGGCCCTGGGGTGAGGCGCCCCTGGGGAAGGTCCGGCCGCTGACACCTCTCCTCCTGCAGGGCTTCCAGGTGGCCTACGTGCTGTTCCAGAAGCCCGGCGGCGTGTCGGCCGCCCTGGCCCTGAAGGGCCCCCTGCTGGTCTCCACTGAGAGCCACCCTGTGAGGAGCGGCGTCCTCAGTGAGTACCGGGGCCCCGGGGCGGGGAGGGCAGCGCCTGCCCGTGTGGCCTGGCCCCGAGGGTGGGGTGGGGGTGGGAGGCCCTCAGGGTGGGCAGGGGTGAGGGCACCCGCTCGCCGCCCCGGACTCTTCCTCAGCCGCGAACCCGGGCCCACCCGTCAGCATCCCGGCAGCTGGGCAAGGAGACCCTGCCCGGCTGCCATGTCCTGGGGGCCCCTGAGCGATGGGCCTAGGAATCCCCACCTTCCTCGCCCCTTCTTCCTCAGAGTGGATCCGAGACTACACGGACTCAGTGCCGGACCCCGAGGCCCTGAGGGTGGAGGTGGACGCCTTCATGGAGACTTACGACCGGAAGATAGCAGAGGTGGGGCTTCCGCTTGGGCGGTGGCTGGCTGGGCCTCCCAGCTGGTAACATCCAGCCTGAAACCGTCCTCTCAGGGGAAATGGTCGCTGGTGGGGCGGGCGGTCAGGGCTGCAGGGGAGCGGCGTGAGGGCACGTGGTGCTGGGCGCAGAGGGAGCAGCCGGGGCCCGAGGCGCCAGGGTGGTGCCAGGCGTGGGAGAAGAGCGCCGAGAGGAGGCAGCGAGGGGCTCCTGGGGCCGCAGGGTGGCTCCCAGGAGCCCCCCCGTCACCGGGCCCTGCTCCCTGCAGGAGGCGGCCAAGGCCAAGGAGGAGGAAGGCGTTCCGGACGACGAGGGCTGGGTGAAGGTGACCCGCCGGGGCCGCCGGCCAGTGCTCCCAAGGACGGAGGCGGCCAGCCTGCGGGTGCTGGAGCAGGAAAGGCGGAAGCGCGCCCGCAAGGAGCTGCTCAACTTCTATGCCTGGCAGCACCGCGAGACCAAGATGGAGCGTAAGGGCGCCCCAGGGCCCTGTCCTTCACCCCCCTGCCTGGGTGCCACTCTGCCAGCCCCAGCCACGCAGAGCTCCCTATCTGTTAGGCTGGGAGAGGGGTCCCGGGGGTCTCCCAGCACCCCCAAAGCCTTGCTTCACCTTGGGGTGCCTGTTGGGGGTAGGGGGGATAACAGAGGTGTTTTTTTTTTCTTTTAATTATTTGTCTTTGTTGGGTCTTAATTGCAGTGAGCAGGCTCTTAATTGTGATGCTTGGGTCTCTAGTTGAGGTGCCTGGACTCGGGTAGTTGTGGCATGAGGGCTTAGTGGCCGTGTTGCGTGTGGGATCTGAGTCCCCAGACCAGGGATTGAACCCGAGTCCCCAGCATTGCAAGGTGGATTCTTAATCCTTGGGCCACCAGGGAAGCCCCGTTGACCTGATAAAGTTTGTCTGAAACCTCAGGCATGCCATCTTCTCCACTTCAGCCTGTGCCCTCTGACTGGGTTACGGCCCAGTTCCATTTCCTGGTAGCATCCGTTCCGTTTCCCAGCACAGGGGCGATGGGGGAGGCCGTGCTGAACGCCCACCCAGTGGGGAGTGGGGAGTGGGGGCTGAGGGGAAGAGCTGCTGTCCTCTCGAGTGGGGGCCGTGGGGCATAGCTCCCACCCGGCCTGCTGTCTGACCCCGGCCCTGTATCCCCTCCTGCCCTCTTCCCAGATCTCGCGCAGCTGCGCAAGAAGTTCGAGGAGGACAAGCAGAGAATCGAGCTGATGCGGGCCCAGCGCAAGTTCCGACCCTACTGAGCCTTGCCCGCCCCCACAGGCCCCGAGGAGCCAGGTGGTGCCCGGCTGGACCCGGGGTCCTGGAATACCCGTCTCAATGGCTGTGCCAGGCCGAGGGGCCCATGTGAAACCCCAGAGACCTGAGCCCACGGGGTGGGGTGAAGGACAGAGTCGCCCATCGGCTCCCGTGTGCTTCGGCCGTCCTGGGGCGCGGAGCGAGGACTTGGCCTCCAGAAGCCCCTGGCCTGGAGCTGGCCCCTTCCCTGTTCTTGGTCCCGTCCCTGGCCTGGCTCCGAACTCTCGTCTCCGGGCTGACTGTCCGCTGTGTTCGCCCCTTCCTCCTGATGGAGAAGCCCCTGTGGGCAGTGAGACGGCCTCACAAGCAATGAGAATACAAGAACGTTTTTATTTTTCATCCAGCTGGGTGGCAAGAAAGGACTACAAAAGCCAGCTGGGCTATCCCAGGCCACATAACACACCTGCTGCCCAGTCACAAAACAGACACCGTCCCCTCTCCGCGCCTCCGGAAGTCACAGATATTGCAGTCAGAATCTTACACCCCTCTGCACCCCCACCCCCAGCTCTGCCATCGAGCTCGCTCTGGCCGTGCTGGTCTTCGGGACCAGGGCCCCGGTCCCCAGCACGCTGGCCTGGGCTCGGGAGCTGGGAGTCCGGTGCTGAAGCAGGTGGCTGTGGCCCCAGGCCCCGGGCTACAGGGGGGCGGGGCTCTTCTCCTTGCTCTGTAAAAAGGAGCTGATGACATCAGCCACGAGCTGGGGTTGGTTCATGTGGACGTAGTGATTGCCCGGGACTTCCACGTACTGGAACCTCTGGGGAGGGGAGGGGACGTGGGATGAGGTGACCCAGTGGAGGGCCGCCTCCCAGCGGTTCCATGTGTCCACAGCTTTGCCGGCCCTCGTCAGTCAGGGGAGGGGGTAGTCGGGCCTGGCTTGGAGCCAGTGGGAAAGGCCTTCCTGGGAGGGAAATGCCCAGCCCTAGGGTTCTAGGCCACTCCGAGCTGAGGTTGTAGAGCTCAGCTGGGGAGGGGCCAGCAGTCCAGTCCTGGGTCTGGTCATCAGCTAATATTCACTTGAAGAAAGAACAAGCAGAGCCTTTCCAGCCTGCCTGGGAGAAAGGCCCACAGGGCAGGAAGAAAGACACTGGATGCTGCCTGGCCGTCTGCTGAGGCCCCAGGGTCAGCTGTCTGTGGTAGGTGATCCTCCTAAATGCCAGGTGCTCCCAGGAGCCCAGGCAAACATCAGAGTCACAGTGCCCATCCCAGCCCTCCAACTTAGGAACTGGTCGTCTGTTCCCATGAGACCCTAGGAAATTGTAGCAACACTCAGTTGGGTGTGGCCCAGGAATACGGGAGGACAATAAAACCAGGAGATTCTGCCAATGAAAAGCCTGCTTTCTGTGCTGATTTATGTGTGATTCCAGGGACCACAGTGGAACATGAGGCCTGGTAGCTCCTGGGGTTACCTGTTAGACCTGGGCCCAGAGCAGGGGTCCCAGTGTGAGAAAAGAAATGGGAGAGGTGGAGCCCAGGGCAGCCTGGCAGCCCCTCCCGACCCAAGCTGCCCTGAGCCCTGGACACCCACCTCTTTCAGGACAGACTTAAGTGAGCTGGTCACGAACATTATGGACTCCCTGTTGGCATCATTCTCTCTCCTCACAGCATAATATCCTTCGGTTGCTCTGGAAGATGAGAAGGGAGGTTCACTTGGGACCAATCCCTGCATGCCCTGCCTCCGCCCTGGGCTCTAGGCTCTGAGACCAGCCCAAGCCCAGGCATCCCTCTGACCTTCCCACCGCCCGGCCCTTCAAGCCCAGGTTTAGTTCAGGGCTGAGGCACTCAGTCCCCACTGGCCCTCAGCTCAGTAAGGCCTGCACAAGATTCATCTCGGGACCTTCCCAGGGTCACAGCCACTGAAGGGTGGAGCCAGGATCTGAACGGGCTTCTGAGTGTATGCTTTCTCTTTTTTTAACAGCTTTATTGAGTTAATTTCACCCATTTAAAATGTACAGTTCCATGGATTTTGGTACATTCAGAGGTGAGCAACCATCACTACAGTCAATTTTAGATCCAATTTATCACCTCAACTGAACCATAGGGGATCCTGCAATGCAGGAGGTCCAGTTCCTGGGTCAGGAAGATCCCCTGGAGGAGGAAATGGCAGCCCACTCCAGTATCCTTGCCTGGGAAATCCCATGGACAGAGGAGCCTGGTGGGCTACAGTCCACAGGGTCACAACAGTCGGACATGACTTAAGCAATTAACCACAACCACCACTACCACCGTCACCTCAACAAAATCCTAAACCTGTAGTTCGCGCACACAGCTCCAGGTCTTAGACAACCACCAGCTGGCCTTGCCTCTACATTTCCCCGATGACTCAAGCGATAAAGAATTTGCCTGTGAGGCAGGAGAGGCAGGAGATGCAGGTTTGACCCCAGGGTCGGGAAGATCCCCTGGAGGAGGAAAAGGCAACCCACTCCAGTATCCTTGCCTGGGAAATGGCTGTGGACAGAGGAGCCTGGAGGGCTACAGTCCACAGGGTCGCAAAGAGTTGGACACGACTGAGCACATGCTGGATGTGGACTTGCAAGTGAATGGGATCACACAGTATGTGGACTTTCCTGACCGGCTTCTTTCAATGAGTCTAATGTTTTCAAGGTTCCTCCCTGTTGCAGTGTCACTGCGTCACTCCATCTTATTGCTGAAAACAGTCCATCGTGTGGATGAAGCCTATTTGCTTGTCGGTGAGGTGAAGGGCATCGGAGTTGCCTCCGACACTCGGTTCATTCTGTCATGAAGGACACCGCTGTGAGCCACCAGCACTCGCTGTGGTGTGGACAGACACTGGGATCACACTGAGGAGTGGAACTGCTGGGTCACATGGTGATTCCAGGGCTTGAAGAACTGCCAGACCTTGCCAAAGTGGCTGCGCCATTTTACAATGCACAGCAGCCTGGCAGGGTTCTAGTTTAGCTCCTCCACACCCTCAGCAGCGCTCGTCATCTCACTTGTGAAGTCTAGATGTCCCAGAGGGTGTGCAGCGTCCCTCCCTGGGGTTGGGATTTGCCCCCGTGAGTCCCTGCCTTCTGAACCCCTGTGCTCAGCAGACGTGTCCCTGGAAGGCACGGTTCCTGCCAGGTCCCAGGTCCAGGATGAATGCAGTGGAGTGGGGGTGGCACCTGAGCCCCCCAGAAAGGATGTTCAACGGGCTGTGGAGCACGGAGGCAGCAGATGGCCTCTGGCTGAGGATGGGAGAGGGAAGGACAGCAGACGGAGGTGTGGGGCTGGCTTGGGGATGCACGGGGCCTGGCGTGGCTGGAGGGTTTGGGAGGACGGGGCCAGGCAGTACTGACTGCCGGTCCCTCTGTCCCCCAGACACAGACACCTGTGGAAAGGTGTGGTGCCGTCCCTGCCCACCCCTAGAGCCCTCCTCCCGTCCCCCTCCCCTCGCCTGCCTTCCACACACCAGCGACCCATGGGGCGCCTCCCAGGAAAGATGGCAGTGTGGTCTTATGCCAGGAGGCCTGGGCATTCCTGAAACTCAGGTCTGTCTGGGGCTCTTGGTTCCGACTTACTTGACTAACAGGATGCGGGCCTGCAGATTTTTGATATACTGCACAAGCAGCTCCCTGCTGACGATATCCAAGCAGTACTCTGGCTGCAGAGACAAAAAACCCCAGTGAATTTTCGCCATGAGGCCCCAGGTGCTGCTGTGGGTGGAAACCCAGCTCTCTTGGGAGCAGCGGACACCCCCCTCGGGCACCCAACCAGGACGAAGCCCCCTGCCTAGCCACATCACCACCTCAACAGAGGCTTCACCTCCCTCAGACTGCAGACTCTTGTCCCCATCATCATTCTCCATCCTCCTGGGCTCATGGCTGCCTAGGCAGACGACATGTCCAGGCCCCCCTCAGCCAGGTGTGGCCATGAAACTACATGCAGAGAAGTGACCTGGGCCACTTCGGGCTGAGGTTTTAGGACTGAGGCGTGACACGGTAACCATACGTGGCTACTGAGGGCTTGGCATGGGGCTTGTCCAGCCTGAGACGTGCTGTCTCACTGGATTTTAAAGACTTAGTATGAAAGTGAAGTGAAGCCGTTCAGTCGTGTCCGACTCTCTGTGACCCCATGGACTGTAGCTTACCATGCTCCTCTGTCCATGGGATTTTCCAGGCAAGAATACTGGCGTGGGTTGCCATTTCCTTCTCTAGGAGATCTTCCCGACCCAGGGATTGAACCCTGGTCTCCCGCATTGCAGGCAGATGCTTTATCATCTGAGCCACCGGGGATTTTAAAGACTTAGTATGAAAAAATAATGTCAACTATCTTGACTATTTTTTATGATGACTCCATGCTGAAGTGACAACACCTTGGATACACTGAGTTAGAAGGTATTATGAAAGTCGACTTCACCTGCTTCTTTTCACTCTTTTTGTAGGGCCACTAGAAGGTGTGGCTTTAACATGAGCTCACATCATACTTCTACTGGACTGGAGCTCTCGGGATTTCCTGTGTCCACAGCTCTCGGCACATGTGTGACAGGCACGGGGTTCAGTGAGTGTGTGCTGAGTGGGTTAATTCAAGAGCGCCCCCAAATGGACTGACTGTTAATGTCTAGTTCCCCTACAGCATCTCGAGGAAGCTGCACACACACACAACTATCTGGTCAGCCAAGAAAACTCATCCTTGTTCTGCCCTGACCCCTCCCAGCTATCTCTTTCTCCTCCGGCTGCAATGTCCAGAAACAGAGGTCCCCCTGTCAACTACAAGGCCTGATGGATGAAGATGTACTGAGGACCCAGACATGCCACACGTTATCTCCTCCCCGGAGGATCAGAAAGGCAGAGCAACTGTGTCACAGTCAGCAGCTGACTGGCTCCCCAGGTGGCTCAGCGGTAAGAAATTCATCTGCCGAGGCAGGAGATGTGGGTGCCATCCCTGGGTTGGAAAGATCCCCTGGAGAGGGAAATGGCAACCCACTCCAGTATTCTTGCCTGGAGAATTCCATGGGCAGAGAGGCCTAGCGGGCTATATATAGTCCATGGGGTCACAAAAGAGTTGGACTCGACTTAGGGACTAAGCAACAAAAGGTAACAGAAGATGGCAGCAGAATCCTGCCGCCTGCCCCGCCCCATTCCCCCAGTCTCTCAGTCAGTTCAGTCACTCAGTCCTGTCCGACACTTTGCAACCCCATGGACCGCAGCACACCAGGCCTTCCTGTCCATCACCAACTCCCGAAGTTTACCCAAACTCATGTCCATCGAGTCGGTGATGCCATCCAACCATCTCATCCTCTGTCATCCCCTTCTCTTCCTGCTTTCAATCTTTCCCAGCATCAGGGTCTTTTCTAGTCAGTCAGTTCTTCGAATCAGGTGGCCAAAATATTGGAGTTTCAGCTTCAGCATCAGTCCTTCCAATGAATATTCAGGACTGATCTCCTTTAGGATGGACTGGTTGGGTCTCCTTGCAATCCAACGGACTCTCACGAGTCTTCTCCAACACCACAGCTCAAAAGTATCAGTTCTTTGGTGCTCCATCTCTCAGCCTCATTTTAATCTTGCTTCTCCCAGCAGGACTGGGACCCTCTGGCTTGACGGCCCAGGCAGGCACTCAACAGAATTACAGGCAGGTCCCCAAGGCAGACGTTGAGGATATCACCTCCATGCACGTCTCCAGACGTGAAAACAACACAGATCTGGGTTTGTGCAGTACTTTCCTCAAAGGCAACAATATGAAGGCTCCAAAAAACCTTTGAGGATAGCTGCTGGGCACATCTTATCTCCTTCTGGCTTCTTTTTTCTTTTCTTCTCCATCTCTCCTTTGACCTTCTTTTCCTAGTCCGCTTCCATTCCTTGATCTACAATTTTCTTTCATAATTCAAGTGTGGTCTTCCCATGTGGCTCAGCAGTAAAGAATCCACCTGCCAATGCAGGAGATTCAGTGGGTTTGATCCCTGGGATGGGAAGATCACCTGGAGAAGGAAATGGCAACCCACTCCAGAATTTCTTGCCTGAAAAATCCCATGGGCAGAGGAGCCTGATGGGCTATAGTCCATGGGGCTGCAAAAGAGTCGGACAACTTAACAACTCAACAATAACAATCAATTCAAGTGTAACTTAAAGTGAAGTCCACAGACCTGAGTGTTACCTCATCATGGCCTCTGACACATGGATACATGTGTCACGTAAGGATGTAACCGTGACCCAGATGGAGGCTGGAACTGCTCAGCAGCCAGCCGAATCCCTCTGGGGGTCTTCTCCAAGGACACCACCTGTTCTGACCTCCGGCTCCCTACATCAATTTTGCTGCTGTTCGAACTTCATATACATGGAGTCACAGTGTTCTTTTTGGGTTCGGGCTTATTTTGGTCTGTATGTGTGTTTTCACATATGAATGTGTGACAGTTTATTCATTCTATTGTTGGTAGACATTTGGGTGATCTCCACTTTGGGGCTATTAAGAATCAAGTTGCCGTGTCTTTTGAAGCACACAACACGCAGCGTTGCCGGATGTATATCTAGGATTGAGGTTGCTGGGCACAGAATTTGCATATATTTTCCTTTAGTGGTTAACTGCCGGTTTTCCTAAATGGCTACATCACCTTATCCTTCCTCCCGCAGTGTGGGACAGTTCTGCTTTCTCCACATCCCCGAGACTTGGTATTTACTGTCAGGACTTCGGTTTCGCTGCTCTGGGGCGGGTGTGGAGGTCTCTCCCTGGGGCTTTGATTGGCGTTGCCCTAAAAAATGACGGCATCCAGCACTGTTCATGTGCTCATCGGCCATCTGGATGGCCTCTTTCAGAAAGGGTCTGTTCAAATCTTTCACCAGTTTTTAAAAATGATGTCGTCAGCCTCTAATCTTAATTAATTTGTAGGAGTTCCTTACATATTTCAGATATGAGTCCGTCAGCAAACCTGTGTATTTAAATATTTATTTATTTGGCTCTGTCGTGTCTTAGTTGTGGGCTCTAGTTCCCTGACCAGGGATCGAACCTGGGCCCTCTGCATTGGGGGCACAGAGTCTTAGCCACTGGACCATGAGGGAAGTCCCCTTTTTCATTAATATTCTGTTTTTTAAAAAAATATTTATTTGTGTTTATTTATTTGACCGCACTGGGTCTTAGTTGCAGCATGTGAGATCCAGTTCCCTGACCAGGCATCAAACCCAGCACCCCTGCATTGGGAGAATGAAGTCTTAGCCACCAGAGAAGTCACTCTTTTTTTTTTTTTAATATATTCTATTTTGATGAATAGAAATTCTAAATTTTATTTATTTTATTTTTTTAACTATTTATTTGTCTGCGCCAGGTTTTTGTTGCAACATGCCGGCTCTTTAGTTGAAGCATGTGGGATCTAGTTCCCCGACCAGGGAACGAACCTGGGCCCCCTGCATTGGGAATGCAGAGTCTTAGCCACTGGACCACCAGGGAAGTCCCTAGAAATTCTAAATTTTAATAAAGCTGTATTTATCAACATTTTCATTGATTCATGGTCTGTGTATGTGTATTGTTCTACTTAAAACATATTTGTCTACCTCAAGGTCATGAAGCCATTCCCTAATTTTTCTTCTAGAACATTACTGTTTCACTCTTCATATTTGATCTATGATCCATGGTGAATTAATTTTTTGTATATTGTGTGAGGCAGGGACCTAGGGTCATACTTTTCCATCTAGATAACCCACTGCCCGCCCCCCACTGAACTGAGGTGGTGCCTTTATTGTAAGTTGGGAGCTCCTCATTCATAACTTTCATAATTAAATTCCTGAAGTATTCCACAAACTCATCCCAATATAATTTTTAACAGAAGTTGATGGCTCTAAACTTCATTCAGAAGGGAGACTATGCAAGAAAAAGCAAGAAAATGTGTGAAAGAACAAGGAGAGTGGACTAGTTCTACTATCAAAACGTATTAGAAAGAAACGGGAATTAGAACGTGTGACTTGATGTGGACAAAGAGATCGACAGGCCATACAGAGCAGGGACAGGCCCATCCTGGAATTTGTTTCTTTGGTGATTTAGTTTCTGCCCCAAGGGGAGTTTTCGCATCTGTGGGTGGTCCTCACTCACCCTTGGGCCCTGTGATGACCACGACTCCCCCTGCAGAACAGCTGTGGGACGGTGGGCACAGTCCCCGAGGCTGGAAGGGCATTTCCAAACGCTCTCAAAAACAAACAAACCGACTTCCCTGTGGTCCAGCGGTTAAGAATCCGCCTTGCAACGCAGGTGATGCAGGTTGGACCCCGGGTGGGGAAACGAAGACTCTACATGCAGCAGAGCAGCTCAGCCCGTGCACCCCAACAACGGAGCCCACAGGACACTGTGAAGGCTCCTTGTGCCGCAGCTAAGAGCCGATGCAGCCAGATAAATAAGAAAGTGAATCGATATTCTAAAAAATGATAAACTGGCAAGGGTAGCACTACTACAGAATTAAGGGAAAAAACCCAAACTGCGCTCTGGGAGGCGGACAGCTGGGGCAGTGGCCTGACCCGGGCCCGGGGGGCCAGCCAGGAGACTCTCCCTGGAGGCAGACTTCTCCATCAGGGCCTCCAGGACCCTGATGATTAGGATCAAGCCGTAAGCTCTACCTCCCCCGCCAAGGATGGGCACTCAGAAGGCAAGCCACAGAGAGTGAACCCTGTTGTGGGGTCAGCCCAGATTAACTGGCGGTGGACCCACTGGTGTTCCTCTGGGAAAGAAATGAAAATGGATCCCTACCCTTCCATGGACTTCCCCAGTGTCTCAGCAGTAAAGAACCTGCCTGCCAATGTAGGAGACCTGGGTTTGATCCCTGGGTTGGGAAGATCGGCTGGAGGAGGAAACAGCAATCCACTCCAATATTCTTGCCTGGGAAACCCTATGGACAGAGGAGCCTGGCGGGTTACAGTCCATGGGTTGGACTCAACTGAGTGACTAAACAACAAGCAACAACCCCTCCATGCTTGAGAACAAATTCCAGCTGGATCAAAACCAAAACTCGAACACTCCCATCCCCTTGGCTGATGCCCTGGTTCAGGCCTCACGTCCATGCCTGGGACTGGGCGACAGCTCTCAGCGGGCTCCCTGGGGCCAGAACGCCCCTCCTCTAGTGCGAGCGTCTCACAGTGTAGAGCATTTTACTCTCTTACACAGTTGCAGAAAAAGCATGTCTGCGAGCGCCAGAAGTGACAACACAGCGCCTGGTCACTCAACACGTGGCCTTAGCTAGTCTTTCCACCAGCTAAGCCCAGGAAGGCATGCAGAGGGGCTGACACCGCCTGGCGGCTCACCAACTGGCTGCATGAGTAAATAAACGAGTGAATGCATTTTCTTTCTGCACACAAGACAACTTAGGCTCAGAGAGGGTAAGTGCCTTGCCCAAGGTCACACAGCCTCTCTGTGGCGGAGATGACTGAGTTTTTAGAGTACGCCTGTCACACACCCGCAGGCCTCCAGACTGCCTGCCGGTTTCTGAGGCCTTTGGTTTGCTTGTTTTTTGGCCACACCCTGCCACATGCAGAACTTCCCCAGCGAGGCATCAAACCTGAGCCCTCAAGTGCAGAGTCATAACCACTGGACCGCCAGGGAAGTCCTCTAAGGCCTCCTGTTAACCAGTCCCTCTCTCTCTCCTCTCTTAGTCTTCAAACCCTCCAGCAGGAACCCCCCCTCAGATGCCCAGAACCGACTCCAAGGCCTCACCTGTGTGGTCACAAGTACCTGAGCATCCTTCCCTTCTCCACCCCCTCCTGGGGCACACCTGTCCTAAGGGACTTCTGATCATGCCTTCCCCCAGCTGCCGGTTGGCTTGCCCCAAAACTCCTACTGCCCTTCCAGTCATTCCAAACCCATCTAAACATTTGTCACCATTTGGCAACCCACTCCAGTATTCTTGCCTGGGATATCCCATGCACAGAGGAGCCTGGTGGGCTACAGTCCATGGGGTCCCAAAGCAGCAGACATGACTTCGCGACTAAACAACATGTAAACACCTGAACAGTAAAAAAAAAAAAAAAAAAAAAGCCCTAGAACAAGAGTTTGTCTGTGTAGAGTGTCTGTGTGTGTCTGTGTAGAGTGTCTGTGTGTGTCTGTGTAGAGTGTCTTTCTAACAGCAGGCCTTGCCTTCATGGATGAATGGTATATCCATACTTTTTATTGTTGTTTAGCTGCTACTAAGTGGTGGTGACTTTTTTCAATCCCATAGACTGTAGCCCACCAAGCTCCTCTACCCACAGGATTTCCCAAGCAAAAAAAAATCTTTCCCAGGCAAAGATCCCATGGACTGTAGCCCACCAAGATCCTCTGTCCACTGGCATTTCCCAAGCAAAAATGCCATTCTCTTCTCCAGGGAATCTTCCCGACACAGGGATCGAATCCATGTCTCCTGCATTGGCAGGGGGATTCTGTACTGCTGAGCCACCAAGGGAGGCCCATGTCCATGTTCAGTTCAGTCGCTCAGTCGTGTCCGACTCTTTGCGACCCCATGAATCGATATTACTCAGACACAAAAGGAATGAAATTACGACACATGCTATAATGCCAGGGAACCTTGAAAACATTTATCTAAGTGAAAGAAGCTGGACACAAAAAGTCACGCATTGTGTGATCCCACTTATATGAGGCACCTAGAGGAGTCGACTGAGAGAGATAGAAAACAGTCTGGTGTTTTCCAGGGGCTGGGGGAGGAGGATGGGGGAGTTGGTGTTTAGTGGGTACAGAGGTTTTATTGGGGATGATGATTGATGCTTTTGAACTGTGGTGTTGGAGAAGACTCTTGAGAGTCCCTTGGACTACAAGGAGATCCAACCGGTCCATCCTAAAGGAGATCAGTCCTGGGTGTTCATTGGAAGGACTGATGTTGAAGCTGAAACTCCAACACTTTGGCCACCTGATGCAAAGAGCTGACTCATTGGAAAATACCCTGATGGTGGGAAAGATTGAAGGTAGGAGGAGAAGGGAACGACAGAGGATGAGATTGTTGGATGGCATCACCGACTCAATGGACATGGGTTTGGGTAAACTCCGGGAGTTGGTGATGGACAGGGAGGCCTGGCGTGCTGCGGTTCATGGGGTCGCAAAGAGTCAGACACGACTGAGCGACTGAACTGAACAATTTTGGGGTGGTGACAACTGCACGACATCATGAATGCATTTAATGCCACTGAGCAGTACACTTATGCATGGTTTGAAAACGGTTATTTATCATGCTATATAGATACATATATATATCTCTCTCTCTTACCACCATAAAAAAGGAAAGAGGTTGACAGGCACTGTGAAGGGTTGGGAAGACAGTAGCACTCACCAAAATGATCCTCCGATCTCTGTTCAGCGACACACCTGAAAGGAAGCACAGACACGTGGACTCAGCCTCGCTGGTTGAGAGTGGAGGGGGGTGGAGACACAGCTCGGTTCCCTGGGGACCCTGGGTCCTTCCAGCCAGGGCTCATCTCCTCTTCCGTCTGGGCCCGCAGGGACCACCCTGAGCACCCTCTCGGGCTTCCTCAGAGCAGAGCTTGCCCATAGCTGCCCTGCCATGGACTGGAGTGGTCCATGCAGGTGCCTCCAGGCCATCCTGGAGGGAGTACACAGTGACGGTGGTGGTGGTGGGGACAACTACCCACCTGGCGTCACAATCTCATCTCTGGGAACCCCAAAATGTTCAGTGGGATCTTTATGTCCTAAGAAGTACCAAAGAGCTAAGAAGAACATCATCACTTGTTAGAGAGAAATCGAGCCAAAAAAGAAAGGTTGTGTGTCGGAGGGAGGCCTGGGTGGTCCCAGCTCCATCTGGGTTCTCTGCCACGGTCCCTATGGGGGCCACCTATCCCCTGTGTGGCTCAGACAGTAGAGAATCTGTCTGCAATTCGGATTCGATTTGGGTTCGATCCCTGGGTGGGGAAGATCCCCTGGAGGATCTTGGCAACTTACTTGGAGGAGGAAACGGCAACTTACTCCAGTATTCTTGCCTGGAGATTCTCATGGACAGAGGAGCCTGGTGGGCTACAGTCCATAGGGTTGCAAAGAGTCTGTCACAACTGAGCAACTAACCACAGTATAGAACAGTGACATATGACCCAGCAATTCCTGCCTGGGCAATGTCCCCTCAAGAAAGGGCTGCAGGAGTCAAGACGGCAGCCGCCATCAGCTCACTCCCAGCTATTCTGTCACAAGTGTCCATGTCCCCAGGGTGAGTCGCAGCCACCTCATGCCTGCCTAGGAGACTCTCCAAGACCAATAGGAATTAAATCAACAGCTGGAAAAAAAAAGAAAGAAGTGGAAGAACATAAAAAGAGAAAGATAACTGCTGAAGAAAAGCACAAAGAATGGGTTCAGAAAAAGAATGAACAGGTATTTACAGTGGAAATTCTTATCTAGAACCAGCCTTTTATAACCCAATTCCATGGAAACTGATTCCTTTGCCCCGCCCCCCCAAAGAAGTGAAGTATCTCTCAGGAAAGAAGGATAAGAGGCCGTGATAAGCCAGCCACATGGGTCATCCTCTCTGGTAGGGCATAAAGCTAGAAGCAATCTTTGCCTTGGAACTCTGTGAAGAATACAAAGATAATAGATGTGGGAAATTACAAACTTTTACCTGGAGCTATTTAATTTTAAAATCAGATTGTTTGTTTTTTTACTGCTCAGTTATTAGTAGTGCAACACTTTGAAGGATCATTGATAAGTTCAAGTTTTTGCATTTGTACAGGGAGTCCTTAGCGTTAATTGAGGACATTTTAAAAATGAAACCATTTTCATTTGTATAAATGCTTCAAGGTTGATCTTGGCGTATTGTTCAGCAAGATAAGTGACTGAATATCTAACAATCGTTTGTATTGAGCTTATATTAAAAGTACCCTCTAATACCAATAAAACAAACACTTTTTCATGTGTTCTTTCATACTAAAAAAAATTAAAAGTAAAATTAAAAAAAAAAAAAAAAAGGGGCTGAAGGGTGTCAGGAAGGGTACAGAATCTCAGAGCCTGGAGGCAGCCTGATCTAAATAGTGCAGGGCCTGAGTAGGGGAGAGAATGCAGTGACATGGGTCACCCCACAGACGTGCTGCCTGAGAGAAGCAAGGCTGTCTCCTTTGCACACGCCTTTGCGCAAACACCACGCTCCCAGCCAGGCCTCCGAGACCTTTCTTCACACCCGACCTCCCTGCACCCATGACCGCAGATGATTTCTTTCTCTCCCTTCTTCCCAGAAATTTCTAACGCGTTCTGTCATCTACCCTCTGTGCTTCTTTCCTCCACTAGGTCACAGCTTCCACGAGGACAAGGGGATTTGGTCTCTTTGTCTGTCCACAGCTGGTTTTTCAAATGGATTTTTGCCTGCGCTGGGTCTGCGTCGTGCACTTGACTCTCTCTGGATGCGGGGGCTGCCCTTCGCGGTGGTGTGGGCTTCTCACTGCCGTGGCTTCTCTTGATGAGGAGCGCGGGCTCACGGGCTCCGCTGCCCCTCGCCAAGTGGAGTCTACCAGGATCAGGGATGGAACCCGTGTCCCCTGATTGGCAGGCGGATTCTTAACCACTGGCCCACCAGGGCAGTCCCACAGCTAATTGTTGGTAGGGGTTCTTGGGCATGCGTGACTCAAAATACTTAGAAGGAGCACGTAATTGGAAGACTCTCTGGTCACTGCGCTACTAAATCACCGCTGTCTGATGTAACCATGGCCAAGGCCTCTGGGCCGCCTTCAGCTCCGGCCACGACCTCCCTGCACGGATGACCGACTCTGCTGCGTGTGCAGGACTGGAGCTGACCCCTGGGTCCCCTGGCCTCCAGGCTCTCTGCCCTCCTCCCTCCTCCAAGCCTGAGCTTCTGCTGCTCAGAGGATGTGAAGAGACTTAAAAGGGGGGCGTTTATCTTGGGGTTGGGGTGACCTCCAAGATACCGGGGACGCCACAGTGCGGTTTTCTCTGCCCTGAGGCCCTGCCCCTCCCTGAGGTCGTTTCCATCTCTTCCAAGCCTCGCCGCCAGCTGACACCCGCCCCGCCCGGGCACTCCTGCACCTGTCTGCTTTTCTGCCTGCCTCTCCTCTGACAGTGACCTTTGTGAAGGCAGGAACAGTGTTTCTCAGACCAGTGGGCCACAGCAGATGCCACTTAAATACGGAGTCCAAGTACCAGGTCCAAGAGCAAGGGGCCCCGGCATCCCTGGTCGTGAAAGAGACTGGTGCGTGGTGTTCTCTCAGTGAGAGTCCGATCCCACAGTCACCACGTGCCAGCAGCCCTGAGCAGGGCTTTGTGCCAATTCACCTCATTTAATTCCCTCAACAACCACACAGAGGCAGACGCCAGCATCTGTTTTACTGGGGAGAAACCAGGGAGGGTTGAGGTTGAGCTCGGCCTGGCGGCTGGAACCCCTCAAGCTGGCCCAGTCCCTGACTTGTGAGGGACGCCCCCCCACCCCCAAGGGTTTAGAAATCCCTGGAAAGTTGCATGAAATGTACATTTCATAAGAAAATAATTGTGAAGGCAGGAGGCGTTATGAGAACCCTAGACTCCCCCCTTTCCTGCAACAGCCAACAGTTTGAGACTGCGCCATGGTGATATAATACAACACAGTTTTTAGTCCTGCTCTTTGGCTCCTGGCCAGAGCTCCTAAAAACTGTCACTTCCTAAAGTGGGAGAAATGCTAGGGGCATCCTTTGCCCTAACACTTGGTCTCTGACACAGAACTCCTAAATCTCTTGGGATTTCCTGGGCAATAGCCGGGTCTTTTGTTCAAATGGGGTGATCCTGGGTGGTTCTTGGAAGGCTTTAGGATAGGGGCTGGTTACCAGGAAGATCAAGCCATGATTAGGAGTTGGAACTTTCAGCCCCACCCTGGTCCTTTGGGGAAAAGAGAGGGACTAGAGGCTGAATTAGAGAAAGCAATGGCGCCCCACTCCAGTACTCTTGCCTGGAAAATCCCATGGACAGAGGAGCCTGGTGGGCTGCAGTCCATGGGGTCGCTAAGAGTCTGACACGACTGAGAGACTTCACTTTCACTTTTCACTTTCCTGCATTGGAGAAGGAAATGGCAACCCACTCCAGTGTTCTTGCCTGGAGAATCCCAGGGACGGCGGAGCCTGGTGGGCTGCTGTCTATGTTGCACAGAGTGGGACACAACTGAAGCGACTTAGCAGCAGCAGCAGTAGCAGCAGAGGCTGAATTAACAATCAATGATGCATGTCTATGGGGTAAAATCGCATAGAAATCTCTGTATTTGGAGAGCTTGCAGGAGGTGTTGGGAAGGTGGCGCACCACTCCCTTTCTCTGCTGGGACCTACCAAGGTCACAGACTCAAACACCCATAGGAGCTGGGCAGAGTGGGTACATAGCGGGGTCTCCGTCCAGCTGCTGTTGCCTATGCGGAAGGTGTCGCCAGGTCTTTCCGCTTTTCAAAAGAAAACCTCACTGATGGTCCAGCGGCTAAGACTCTGCTCCCAATGCCAGGGAGCCCCAGTTTGATCCTCGGTTGGGGAACTAGATCCCACACTCCACAGCTAAGAGTTCTCATGCCACAACTAAACATCCAGCATGCCTCAACTAAGACCTGGCATAGTCAAATAAATGAACAAAAAGAAACTGGAACTCTCCATTTTCACACACAATCTTTCTATTCTAAATACAAGCGACCTATTCAAAATGCCCCTCATGTCAAATTTTTGTGCTTCAAGTGCACAAGTCAAAGCAAATCACGCTTGCAGCCCCAGGGCAGCCCAGCTAGTGACCGAGTCAGAGGTGCAGCAGCCGAGTGCTGCACGGGCTGTCCGTGGTCACGAAAACCACCCGGAGCAGGACTCTCCCCACCTCACGCCAACTGAGCTTGTTTCTAGACCTGGGCCAGGGCTGTGGCAGGAACGCAGATAAGAGGCAGATAAAATCGGAGCTGGCCTCCCTCCTCACCCTGCTTGCTGCCTCCTGCATTTCCCAGAAGCCCAATCAAGCTCCTGCCTCAAGCCTTTCCTGGAGGTTTCCCTGCATCACTGGGTTCAGAGGTCACCTTCTCCACGAGGTCCACCCAGGCCCTTCTATTGAAGAAAGCAAAGGACAAGCTCGGCCCCAACTCTGGCCTTCTTACTCACTGTTTTTTTTTTCCTAGAGTGCTCTCATCTCAGGCTCTGGGAGGACTTAGGGAGAGAGACGAGGCCACACACGGGCCAAGGAATGCCTGAGGCCACCAGAAGCCAGGAGAGAGGCTCCAACGGCCTGTCACAGCCCTGCCAACACTCTGATCTTGGCTTCTGGCCTCAAACTGTAAGAATAAATGTCTGCTGTGTAGGCTGTGCCGTCTGTGGGGCTTTGTATCGGCAGCCCTAGGAAAGAAACACACATCCTGGGGGGCTGGGTTGGATGATGGGGGTGTGACCTGCTCCAGAATGCAGTGGGGGGCTGTCAGGGAGTCAGGACTCAGGAGGAGCCTGGAACACCAGCTCCCCAGGGTCACTCTGACTGGTTGGGTCTGGGAGGCTGCTTGGTCTGCTTTTAGGTTAACCCCGGGCCTCAGAGGGGCACACTACTGTGAAGGGGCTTGTCCCAACACAGCCATCCAGCCGCCTGCCCACTGCCCAGGATGCCTCTCTCCTCTGCTCCCACCCCCTTGACACCTGGCTCAGCATCTGCTCACCATCTCACATGACCCCGGGCTGCCCTAATCGGCTTCCCCAGCCTCGCCAGGTGCCCTATCTTATTCCAGATTAGCCCACTTCTGGAGCCCATAGGCCTCTGCCTTCCACCTCCCTTCTCCATGATGGATTTGCAGGGAGGGACAGAGATGGTGACTGAGACAAGACCAGGCTGCAGACCCCTCAGGTATATTCCCCTTGACCTAAGTTGGGCTGGCAACTTCTGAGGAAAACTGCAGCACTGCAGGCACTTCCCTGGCGGTTCGGTGGTTAAGGCACCACGCTTCCACTGCAGGGGGCACAGGTTTATTCCTGGTCGGCAGACAGCACTGTGCCTCGACAATGAGCTCCCAGACCCCTGACCAAGTTCCCCACAGGATGTGGCTTTCCGGGATGTGTGGCAGCCATCTGACCTAGCACAAGCTGCTTGGCCCTTCAGAGTCTCCGTTTCTCCTGCTTTAAATGGGATGAGTATAGGGCAGTGGGCACGGCAACCCACTCCAGTATTCTTGCTTGGAGAACCCCATAGACAGAGGAGCCTGGTGGGCTATAGTTCACGGGGTTGCAAAGAATCAGACACGACTGAAGCAACTTAGGACGCATAAGTCAGTAGGAGTATTAAAGGAGGTACTTTTGCAAAGCACTTAGGATCACGCCTGGTCTAGAGCAAGCAGCACTAAAGCTTACCCACTGTCATTCCTCAGAAAGGACAGTGCCCATAAGCAACAGCCTTGAACAGCGAGTCCCTTACCCGTGGCCACCTGTGTGGTTCCTCTCTGCAGGAGATGCTTCCCACACGCCTCGCCCACGTGGCTGTTGTTTTTCAGGAACCTGGGGAAGAGGGGACACTGGATGCCTGGGGTGGGGGTGGGGGTGGGGGGCCAGGCGAAAGGAGAGGAGGGTGGGGAAAGGCCACTTGCCAAGGACACGTGCCTGTACCAATGGGGATGTTTGCCTCAGTGTTGTGTGAGTGTCTGTGTCTGTGTGTGCGTGGGTACCAGGCGTGGCAGAGAGCTTGTGGAGGGGTGGGGCGAAGGGCATGGCCACAGTGTCGGGTGAATGAGGGCAGACAAAGGCCCAGCTGGGGTGGCTAAGGAGCGCCAGGTGAGCGCACGAGAAAGCGGCTTGCTGCAGATTTGGGACTAGGAGATGGAGCTTCCTTCAGGCCCCACAGTGGTCCATAGCTCCCCCAGGTCTCTGAGCCCAACGGTCCCACCCGCCACTCACCACTGCAGCATCTCTTCCGGGCTGACCACCTGCGCAGGCTTCCTGGAGGCCTCCACCTGCAGCACGTGCTCTATGGCCCTCCGCTTGTAGGTCAGCAAGTTGTCCATCTCCTAAATGCCCATGGGTTCTGCTGGGCGGGCGGGGACCCAGGACCTTGCCCAGCCCCACCCTCCACTCAGCGGCACACCCTCTTAGCCTGAGAAGACTCTGAACCCGAGAGAGGCAGGGCACCGGATCAGCCCCTGCCGGTCAGCTCTGTGACCCGGAGCAAGTGGCCCGCCTCGGTCACAGCCACCCAGCCCAGCCTGGAGCCCGGGAGAGCTGGAGGGGTCGGGCTGAAGACGGAGGGGAAGGGAGAGCTCTGGTAACTGCCTAGTGCTTTGCGAAGGTGCACTATTAGGGTCCAATCAAATGGCAGTTTCATCTGCTCTAATTGACACTCTCATGCTACCTGGTGGAGAGGAACTGGCTGAGCGGGTACAGCCTGGGGGAGTACAGCGGGGTATAGCTGGGCATTTCCAGCCCAGCTCACTCTCAGCACAGCCTGGCCTCGTCCAAGGTCCACTGCCTGGAGCAGCAATGGGAAGCGACACCCCCATCCACCCCCGGAAGAGGCAGGAGACAGGGAGGGGCCAAGAGTCACCAGAAACTCCTGAGGAAGCCCCTCCTTCCCCCCACCCCGGGCACGGTTTGTCAGCTCAGTGGGTGAAACCAACACGGATGCCAGAGTGGAGGTTACCACGGTCTCGGAGATCCTCACTGTAACCCACGAGCTCTCCACTCACGCAACACACTTATTGAGCACTTACTGTGTGCCGGGACTGGGCATGTGGTGGTAAAGAGACAGCTGTGATTCTTGCCCTTAAGGAATCTGTGGGCATCTTATGGACAAGAAAACTGAAACTGAGGAAGGAGCTGTGTGAGGCTAAGCCCTCGGGAACAGAAAGACTCCTGTCAGAGCTGGAGGGTGCCTCCTCATCGTCTAGTCCAGGGAACCTCAATCTTCCTGGTACCAGGGACCAGTTTTCAGGGAAGACAATTTTTCCTCGGACCAGGGCAGTGGGGGGAGCTGGTGTCGGAATGAGTCAAGCGCTTTACACGTGCTGTGCACTTTATGTCTGTTATTACCACCGCAGCTCCACCTCAGATCATCTGGCATTAGGTCCCAGAGGCTGCGGACCCCTGCCCTAGTCCAAACTCCTCATTTTACAGGTGAGGAAACTGAGGCCCAGAGAGGCAAAGTGACCTGCCGAGAGTCACAAAGCAGGAAAATAGCAGAGCCAGGACTCAGATACAGAGACAGCCCTGGTGGTCATCACTGGTGGTGCTGGCAAGAGGGGTCAACGTTTTGCCCATCAGTCCACACTCAGGCCTCCTGTGTGCAGTTGTGCGGTGCGTGCACACCTCGAGGGCAATTGAGTACAGGTGGGCCCATTCAACTAGGGTTTCCTCAGCCCACTGCTCCTCCCCTCTCCCACCCCTGCCGTTGTGATCAACCTGGCCTTCTGCAGACTCCAAGCCACAAGCAGGGCCTCCAAGGATGACACAGGCCCGTGACCCTGTTTGCTGCCCACTCCGAGGGAATAGGTAGCACAACCCTGCCCTCGGGGGCGGGGGGGGACCCTGAGCTCTCTTATCCACCGTCTGCCACCTCCTCCTGCCTCCCTGGTATCCGACAAGGGGGGCAGGGCTGAAGACACTACCTGGGACCCAGGTACCCAGCGACACGGGGCGTGCAAGCCCCGTCCTTACATTCGTGTCCAGGACAACTGGTATGGCCTCCAGCAAGATGAGTTTGTCCACCATCTCGGGGAAGATACAGGAAAACTATGATGTGACACAGAAGAAAGGAAGCATGAAGAGGAGAGGAAGGAGGAGAAGGACTCAGACTGTCCCCTGGGGACACTGGCGCTTGGGTGGGGACAGGGTACTGACCACTAGGCCACCGGGAATCTCCTACCCTTTCAGGGCACCTTTCTCTCCCCTCCCCAGAAAGTCCACACCCAGCATCAACCCCGGTGACAGCTGGATTCTCCAAGGTTCTCTGCGACAGAGGGGATGGGCAGTGTGGAAACACTTAACTCCATCAGGAATGTCCTTACAATAGTGATTATCATGGGTCCTTCCAAAGGAAGCTGGCACAAACCACTAATGGGCTGCCTGAAACTCACTACCCCTTCCTCCTCTCCCCATCCCACCGGGAGGAGAGGCCAGAGGTCGTCACTGCAAAGCCATCTACTCACCATTCCACCCACAGTGCCACCTGGGGGACAAAAGAGTAGTTGGTGAATACTCCCCAGCTCTCCCAGAGTCCTACCAAGACTCCTTCCCAGAGGTGGACCTCCCCGCAGCCAGAGCCCCCAGCTCCTGTCTCCCACCAGCAGGCAGGGCTCTGCATTCACCATCAAACTTGAGGCTCCCTCTCTGGGGCCACGTAGCCCCTGCATCAGACCTGACTCTCTTTCCCTTCTCAAATCAGGAGACAACGGCCATCCATCCAGTTGCCTGAGGCCACTGGGCACGGTGCCCATAGGTCAGTGTCTAACGAACTCCTTTATGTCTCCTTGCAGTTCCCAGGGGTGCAGGAGAAAGGTACCTGTGTACTAGTCCTCTCCCTCTCAGCCCCACAGCTTGAGACCAGTCACATCCTGGCAAAGTGTCCTCACCAAAACTGTGGCCCAGGAGGGAAAACCGGTTCCATTTCAGGGCTGAAAACACATGGAGCCAGGTCGGGGTGGGCCCAGCCTCCCCCACCTGCCCTCAGCCTCGCAGTCCCTGTGCCCTGGGATGCCACTCAGGAAACACCCTGAAAGGGCCCCCAGGGCCACCGAGGGGTTGGAACTCATGGGAAAAAGCAAGCTTTCTCCAGCTTGCGCAAAGTCACCCATGAGTTGCTGGCAGAATTGGGGCCAGACCCTAAAGCACTCTCAGGCCAGCGTTGCTTCCTGGCCAAAACACCCCACTTGCAGAGCACCTACCCAGTTCCCTACTCCACCCCACCCCCAACCCCTACAGACAAACACACAGGCTCTGTCTCTTGCTTACCTGCTGCAACTCTCCGGACCTCACTCACAAAGTTTTGATGGTAATATGGGAAACCTTGGCTGTAGTGGGATGAGAGCCCATGACCCCCGAAGTCCATGGCAACATAATGAAAGTCTGAGACAGAGGGAGAGGGTGAGGGGGTGCATCCAGGTCAGCCATCTCCCCCACTCCTGATTCTCCTACAGACCTGCTGCCTCACCCCGTTGGCTTCCCTTCAGCCCCCAGGCCTACCCTTCGGGAGAAGAGGGATGAGTCTGTCAAAGGAGTTGGCATTGTCCAGCCAGCCGTGAAGGCAGAGAACAGGGGCGGCTTGATGGGAGCCCCAGGCTTTGGCCGCAATGTGGCCCCAGGGAACAGCAAGCTTCAGCTCTGAGATGAGACCTGAAATAAAGAGAGCCAGATGTGGGTGTGGGGCTACCCAGAGGAGGGACAGGCAAGATGGGTCTACTGAGTGAAGAAAAACCTTGGGAGGGTTTCACTGTAGAATTTTCTAGAATAAGTTGGGGGTGGGGGTTAGCTAGGCCTGGGCTCTGTAACTTATGGCTGTGCGACCTGGAGCAAGTTACTAAAACCTTTTGAGCCAGTTTTCTTTCCTGTAAAACTGGAGTAAACAGAGTAATAAGCAATGGCCAAGGTTTTCTAAGTCTTCGCGGAAGGCCCGATGGGGTGGCCCATCTCCCCACATCTTCACAGTAAGTTGGAGCACTCTCGCCCTCCTTTTCCAAACCCCAAAACTGAGGCACAGGGAGGTGCAGTCCACGCCCTAGGTCACACAAAGGCAATCAGGTGGAGCGCGGATCCAGAGCGGGCAGCGCGACCCCAGGCCCCTTGCCCTGACCCCCGGGGCACGGGCCCGCTCAGGTCCTGCTGCATCCTCCATCCCCAGGGCTGACCTTTTCACCCGCAGGCGCTCCTGGCCAGGCCCGAGACCCGCGTGCCCCCAGAGCCCCCGCGAGCTTGCTTCTCTAGCTCGGGGCTCCCGGAATCCTGAGAGACCACGTGCGACCCGTTCTCGGGGCCCCACCCTCGCGCCGGTGGGGCTGGGCCTGCTCCGCAGGATGCAGACCCAGGACGCGCTACCGCCGGGAGGGCGGCATGCCCACTCCGCGGTCCCAAGCAGGTCGGTGGCCTCGCCCATCCCACTCCGGTCTAGGGAGCCCGGGACTGCGGAGCCTCACCCATCGTTCGCGTCCCAAGGTCTCACAGAGGCCGTCACTCCAGTTAAGTCTCGCGCCGGGCAACAGACACCTGCTTTCTGGCTCTGGCTACTCGGGGGCCGGCCCCGCCTCGCCCACCAGCAGTTGTCCTCGCCCCAAACCTGCCCTCGGCCCCGCTCATAAATGGCCTGTCCGTCCCGCTCCGGCCCCGCCCACCAGCGTCTGTTCTCCCACCTCGCCCTCGGTCCAGTCCACCAAAGGCCTGCCCCGCCCCGCCCTCGGCCCCGCCCACCACTGACAGGTTCCCACCAGGCGCCCACCAATGACCTGGCCCGGCCCGGCCCGGCCCCGCCCACCAGCGGCCGGTTCCCTCCGCTCTTGGCCCCGCCCACCAATGGTCGGCCCCCGCCCCCGCCCCACGTGCAGGACTTCCGGCGGGCTGGCTGGATTCCTGCCGAGACCTGCTCACCACCGATCGTCCTTGCCGTGGGAAGCCCCCACGTGCCCACCGCGGGCTGAGCGCTCAGCTGTGAGCAGAGCGGTTGGGGAGCCCGCGGGCTCTAGCCAAACGACCTCCAAAATCTTGGGCTGCACCCAGGGCCGCGTCGCAGGTAACAGATCCAGCTCTCCCTGACACGGGGGTGATGGGACCAGATCCTTGCGCTATCGCCATGCCTTACCACCCTTACCCCTGCGCGGGAGCAGGAGCCGGAGAAGGCCCAGGAAGCTGCCCCAGCGATCGGGGCACCCCTGGGTCCTCACGGACCCCCACTGGAGGGCTAAAGGTGGGGGGGCTTTTTATTTAGTGGCTTAGCGTTCTCCTGGAAGGCGGGACCGCCTCCATTGTGTTCTCACGGTGTTGTGGGGTCTTCAAAGTGTCTAGCAGGAACCAGCCTTAGTAGTGGTTGTACCAGTGGACCAGTAAGTGTGTAAACTGGGAGCACGGAGGAGCCCCCCAGGCGAGGGAGGATTATAGACAGTGACATTGAGCTTGGAGAGGACCAAGAACTCCAAGTCATGAAGGGGATATTTGGGGTACCAAATCCTATAATAAAGGCACGAAACTGCATCCTTTGAGCCTCTGAAAGTGACAGGTCTAGGACAAATAAGGGGGAATACTTCCTCTTTGTTTAACACCATTTGCTAGTTGGAAAGCCTAGGACCCTGAGGGGTCATGGCCCAGCAGAGCCCCTAACTGGAGCCCAGAATCCAGCCAGCTGAGGGCTAGAGAGAGACCTGTACCGTGAATTCTCCCTGGGTGTGTGTGTGTGTGTGTGTGTGTGTGTGTAGATCAGAGACCCACAGAGCTGGTGGGGGACATGCTGGCAGCGGGTCTCAGTGCAGGAAAAGGTGTTGGTGGCTGGACAGTGTGCATAAAGGTGAGGATGGGGCCGTGTGTGGAGCTAAGGAGGTTGGACCTTAATAAGTGGTGGGGGTCAGCTAGGAGCTGGGGTTGACAAGACCATCTCTCAGTGGGTACATGCACGGTGGTGTCCATGTGTTACAGAAATGCTGTGGCCTCCTGGACGAGTTAAGCAGGGGTCACAGACCCTGAGGTATAGAAGCCATGGAGACGGAATGGCCCCTGTGAAGAGGCTCCTTCCTCCACTGCCCTGGGTGCCACCTCTTTGTCATGGATGATGCCACATTTATACCTGGCACCAGGCTCCAGCCTGACCTCTGAGTGGGGACTTTTCTAGCTAGCACATTGACCTCAAATTCTCTCAGTCCAGGTGGCTCAGTGGGTAAAGAATCGGCCCGCGATGCAGGAGACGCAGGCAGACACAAGTTCGATCCCCGGGTCGGGAAGATCCCCTGGAGGAGGGCATGGCAACCCACTCCAGTATTCTTGCTTGGAGAATCCCATGGGCAGAGGAGCCTGGTGGTCTGCAGTCCATGGGGTCCCAAAGGTTTAGATGTAACTGAAGCGACTGAGCATGCACGCACCCCTCTGCTCCCCTCAGTCCAGTTGGCCCTTCCCGCACAGACCTCATCCGCTGCCTCAACTCTGTCAGCTCCCCTCAGTCACCCCACCCCATCCTCTTCCTCATCCTCACATTCACATGTTGACCCGGATCCACAGCACCCTTTCACTGCCTGCCTGTGACCCCTCCCATTCCAGTGACCCCCTGGGCTGGGTGCCCATCACCCCAAGAAGACAAGGCCCCATGTTCCTTTGTCCAGGCCCCGTGTTCCAACTCACACGTCCTGCCACCACCAGCTCCCCCTGCTTTATGGCCGCAGCTCTGACCTTTGGCATCACTGCCGGCTGGAGGGAGGTAGATCTCCCGCCTAGCACTGGAGACTGTCCCTGAGGCCCGCCTTCCCTTCTTTTTAATGTTTACTTATTTGACTGTGCTGGGTCTTAATTGTGGCATGCAAGATCTTTTTTTTTTTTGACTGTGCTGGGTCTTCGTTGCTGGGCACGGGCTTGCTCTAGTTGCAGAGAGTGGGGACTGCACTCTAGTTGTGATGCGGAGGCTTCTCACTGCATTGTTTGTCTTACTGGGGAGCACAGGCTCCAGCTTCATGGGCTTTAGTAGCTGCAGCAGTTGCAGTTCCTGGGTACCAGAGCACAGGCTCACCAGTTGTGGCACACAGCCTCAGTTGCTGCCCAGAGACACGTGGGATCTTCCCAGACCAGGGATCAAACTGGTGTCCCCTGCATTGTAGGGCAGATTCTTAACCACTGGAACACCAGAGAAGTGCTGGCATGCAGGATCTTTCTGTTGCAGCGTGCAGACTCTTGGTTGCGGCACTTGGGATCTAATTCCCTGACCAGGGATTGAACTCAGGCCCCTTGAGTTCATTGGGAGTCCGGAGTCTTAGCCACTGGACCACCAGGGAAGTCCCCTGTCTTCCTGCCTTTTGGGGCACACATCCAGCTCCAGGAACCCCGGGCTATGGGTTCTCTGTTTGTGCCCACATTATCTCACTGCTGTGCCTTTGCTTACCCCATTTCTTCGGTTCAGCATACTCTTCCCTTTTGCCTTGCCATTGAAATCCTACCCTTCTTTCAAAGCATGGTTCGAAAGTCACCTGCTGCAGGAAGCCCTCTTCAGTCTTTGCAGGTGAGACGCATATCTCCCCACCTCTTGTTTTTGCTGCGGGTATACCACCTCTCACCCCCTGTATGGTGTTGTATTCAACTGGGTCCACTCCATAGATGTCAGCTTCTAAAATTAGAAAAGGTCTTACTCAACTCTGTTTTCCCGTTTTAGCATCTACCAGAGCACCTTGCACACAGTAGAAGTTCAGTCAACTTTTGCCAATTGACTTGGCTGAGAATCAAGAACATTTCCTCCCAGCCTGTCCCCCTGGGACAACCCCAGCTCCCAGCTCACAAAAGCAACAGCCCAGAGTGGGGGAAGTCAGGGAGTAAGTCTTAAGGTCTTGTGTCCTTACTACCTTGGTTACATTCCTCAGGTTAGAATGCTGTCCACATCCAGAGAGGCGGGAAGGTATTAAAAGAGGCAGAAATGTTCCCAGGAGTTCCTAGTCCATCAGCAAGGGGAAATTTCCCCTGGTTAAGTTTACAAAATAAAGGCAACCTCTGACAGTAAATGTAGTGTGGTATCCTGGATCGGATCCTGCAACAGGAAAGGGACATTCTTGGAAAAAATAGAAAAATCTGAAATCTAGAGTTTAGTTCATAGTAACATCCTAATGTTAATTTCTGCCTTTGTATCATGGTTATTCGAAGTGTTTACATCACAGGGAGCTAGGTGAAGGACATAGAAGAAATTCTGTACTATCTCTGCAGCTTTTTCTGTGAATTAAAATTATACCCAAACTTAAGAGTTCCACTAAAAAACCAAAAACCTGACAAGAACCCTTGATTTATAATTTAGATATGATTAAATGCTTAAGGGAATAGCAAGTATGTTGCACTGTGAAATGTTGTTAGCCTTTATTAACAAGCCTGTTTTGCTCCCTTCCAACTTGCTTTAACTTAAAAAAATTTGTTTCCTTGTATCCTATTCACCAGATTTAAAGCTTTAAGCGTTTTTTGTTTTTTTAGGTGGGGGGAGTTGCGTCTCAAGGCATACAGAATCTTAGTTCCCTGACCAGGGATCAAACCCATGCCCCTAAAAGTGGAAGCATGGCATCTTAACCACTGGACCACCAGGGAAATCCTCTAGAGCTTTACACTTCTAAAGATGATTTTAGCTATGTCCTATACAATTTGACGTTGTGCATTTTCCATCTCATTAAGTTATGTGT